AATTAAAAGATTTTTTTAATATAAGTGTCATTTATTCATGTCGTGGCAAAGCTGAATTTTCAGCATTATTACTCCAGTCTTCAGTGTCACATGATCCTTCAGAAATCATTCTGATTTGCTGCTCAAGAAATATTTATTATTATCAAAGCTGGAAACAGTTGTGCTGCTTTTGTGTTCAAAGAACAGCATTTGTTTGAAAAAACCCTCTTTTGTAACATTATTAATGTCTTTTCTGTCACTTTTGATCAATGTAATGTGTCCTTGCTGAATAAAAGTATTAATTTCTTTAAATAAATAAAAATCTTAGAGATACCAAACCATTAAACTCTGGTGTAAAACTTACTGCCACAACCCTAGAGTGTAGTTGGTCACCAGGGTGTTGCTGTGTTTGCTATGGTGTTTTGGGTGATTTGTGGCCTAAGCAGAGCCGGACAGTAACGGAGTACATTTACTTGAGTACAGTACTTAAGTACAATTTTGAGGGATCTGTACTTTACTCGAGTATCATTTTTGGGGAGTACTCATGACTTTACTCAAGTACATTTGAGAGGCAAATATTGTACTCTTTACTCCAATACATTTCTATCCATAACCGTGAGTACCTGAGTAAAAAAAAAAAAAAGTAAAGAAAAATCTCGGAAACCCTCAATTTGTTGTTTCCCTCTCAAACGTGATTGGATTGTGCAGGCGCCACTGATTGAGACAGCCTATCAGCAATCACTTTCAGTTTTCCGCCAAAGTCAACTCCATGGTCAGATTTTATATTACACATTAATGTAAGCCAAGCATTTGGTTTGATGTTCTTGAGTATGTGGTGTGTTTAACACAGTCAGGTTCAAATGTGGCAGTGGCATAGCCACGAGGGATTTCTTATTTCTTAAAAAAAAAACTTTAGGAGGCAAAATATATTTTTACTGATTATGTGAATTACACTGCGCAAACCAAAGTAGGCTACTACCCAGCGAATGAAGAAGGGTTGGTGCTCAGTCTCCACAGTACATAAAATATTAATTTTGTTTTATTTGATTTTTCGGGTTTGCATTCATGAGGAAAAAACAATGTTATGGACGTGTTCTCCGTTACGGACGTGAGCGCTCTGAAAGCGGCATAAAAAATGCTTTAAAACTTTCACAGAGACATCAAACAGAAAACACAAAACCTTTCTTTAACTTGAATTTTGTTTTGCATTAATTGTATCTTAATTTGAATCAATGTTTCATCAACCAATTGCCTGGGTTTAATAAATAAGAAGTAAATAGCAGACGATAGATAAGAAACGGAGGTGCCGGCACGTGAACTGGATCTCGTCTCATAAATGAACCGAAACACAGTGTATAAGGTAGCCTACTTGCCTCTCACAGACATGTCTACTTTTAAACAGAAAAATTCAAAACGAAAGAAAACAGACTACAGACTGCTCTCTGCTTATGTAATCCGTATGAAATGTGCATTTCTCTCTGGCGCGTTCACTACTGAAGATCGCGAGTCAGCATCGTCAACTTCATCTTGCCGACACTGACAAAGAAAACACTTGTTTATTAACAAGTGTTTATTAATAAACAATTAAAATATGTCCTTGCCATATTTTACATATTCATAATCATTCCTTTTGCCGGTTCTTTGTGACAGCTTTTAGGTGCTTTATTGGCAGCGCCACCCTTACATGTGGTGTGTGTGTGTGTGTGATTGTGTGTGTGTGTTGTCCCCGCATTTAAAGATGGGACCCCCCAAAAATTTAATTTAATTAAATAAAGCAACATGGTAAAAAGATGAAAATGACTTGATTTTACTTTCAATTCCTTTTACATTCTCCAAGGTATTAACATTAACATTTTTCATAACTCCATGTAGGACGTTTCTGTGCATAAATGTAAGCACTGTGGCAGTAGATTAGTAATGCAATATTTAGAAAATCTACTCTTGTACTCTTGATACTCAAGTACTTTTAAAAACAAGTACTTTAGTACTTTTACTTAAGTAGACATCTGAATGTAGTACTTTTACTTGTACTTGAGTAAAATTTAGCAAGGGGTATCTGTACTTTTACTCAAGTAACAAAGCTCTGTACTCTGTCCGCCTCTGGGCCTAAGTCAAAAGAGCCCTCAACCTGGTCCCTATAGATAAACCTGTTGTATCATTCACTAGGGGAAAATTGTAATTTTGAAAAAACTAATAGCACACCTGTACTCAACAAGAGCTATAGTATGAATCAGAAATTATGTGGAATTAAGATTGCATTCAGTTTTAGGCCTCTGAGGTAGTGGAGCTCTTTGTGTTCAAGCTAACTGTGAGCACACTTAATGATTGTAGGGAAACTCATATCCCATAAATGACCTTCCAGCAAAACAAACAGCAATTCAGTGAATGAAGAAGAGAGAAAGCGTGAATGTTACCTTTACGAGGCCAGCTATAAAAATAAAGGTTCTTTATATCATTTAATGGTTCCATGGAGAACTTTTAGCATCCAAGGAACCTTTCCATTGCACAAAAGTTCTTTAGAGAAAAAATAATTTCTTTAGAATTTTTAAATGTTCTTTACACTAAGAAAAAAAATATATATTTTAAGAACTGTTCACTGAAAGGTTCTTTGGGGACCCAAAATGGTTCTTTTATGGCATTGCTGTGAAAACCACTTTTTGGAGCCTTTATTTTTTACAGTGTACGTGTATCCAAGGAAGTTTTTGTGCAGTGGTGGCGGGGGTAGAGCTGACCTGATGAGGTTCATAATTTAGATATGAGATCGAGAATAAGAAAATGCGGTGATTGTTTTTGTTTTGATTCTGCTGGGACAGATAAGAGAACTCTCGTACAAAACAATTAGACGCTGCTTGTTATGCTTTTTTTTATGTTTGGACATGGCGAAATAGTTCAGATAATCAAACAAGCCTAAACAAACATGCCCTCTTTACGCTAGTGCTCAGGAAAACGCTAATAGGAAATTCCAATAACGCTGCTGTTCAGTAGGGGGTATTTTTGAGGAATGTTCTACAAAACAAGCACATCCCTAAACATTACATACATTTGAACACTGACGGCTCCATCTTTTCCATGTGAAAAATATTCGCAATCTCTCTGAACATTTTCTGTTTTCACAACATAGGGTCCAAAAATATATATACAAGCTTTCCTACACTAAACACTTTCACAGACAATTCTTCATAACGGCTCTACCAGATCCTACCGGATCCAGTTACACAGACTTCATAAACAGTGTGAAATTCCTGAATGTTCCGATAAAGGCAGGTGCTGATGATGACAAGCTAAGATTTCAATGTAATTATCTGTAATCAAAATATTGGATTTCATCATCAGTAGGCCTACAAAAGAGGGGAAACTAAGAAAGACATTAATGAAAGACATTAATTGGTCAATATCGGAGAAATCCATCATTAACTTTTCCACAGATGTCTGCTTAATATTTTACACTCAAGAACAATTGAATAAAGATAAACACCCACGTTGTGAACTATACTTAGGTTGTCCTTCGGTTTATAAGGTCCTTAGACTTATTATCTTATCAAGCTGAATCAATGGTCAATATTTGTCAACACATTTGATTTGACCCATCACCCCTATATCGACCAATCACCTTATGACCTCTGAAACCTACAGAATTATGTTCCACCACTGCTTGAAAGTCCTTGATCGACCCCTAGTGTTAATATAACAGATTTCAAGCTGCTTATAAACACTCACCTGTCAGCCGAGCAAGCATTTGTTGTGGGTGTCAATAAACCATGATGTAAAAATCTACACACTGCATAATATAGAATTGATCAGATTTCCTGTTAACATCTTGATTAAATATACAGAAAATTTGGGAAGAATGTGATTTGCTGTAAATTGTAGAGCATTATAAATAAATAAAAACAAGTGCGGTTGAAGTTTTGTTTATGAACATTAGCCTTTGTTTGATTTGTATTCTTGCCAAATTAACAAGGCTTTAAACAATTCCACATTATTATAATCTCATGTCACTGGCTCTTTTTACAAAGAGTAAACACACCATCTAGTGGTTGTGCAGAGCATGACTCTTATAAATACTACTGAATAGAAAGTGTATGAAGTCTATTATAGTTGGATGATAATGATATCCTTACTATACCCTATAAATACTTTTCCCTCTAGTGGATATAGTCATTTTATAATGGAAAAATCATTTCTACCCTCTAAAAATATTTTCAATATCTACTGTATTGTCATTTTAAATATTCAATATAATATGTTAATTGAACTGTCCTTTTAGCTAGGGGAATTTAGATGAAATTTTAAATGAAATACATTTTGTTTAAAAAACAATTCATTTACAGTATCATCAATTGCAAATTAATATAAATATGTTTTAATAAAAAAAATTCACAAAGACATTTATGATCTTGCCCTCTCTCATTGTTCCATGCATAATATGTATCATTTATTATTTATTTAAGCATTATTTGATCATAACAGAATGGTGGTGAATTTAAACACGCTTAAATATTAAATATCTAGTTTTTATTCGTGTAATGTTTTTGCTCACAATACTGTTCCAATACTGTCGTTTGTTATTTCATAGCTTTAGATCATTTCACTACAATTCTAACATGTAGAAAACAGTAACATGAATGAATAGGTGTGTCCACTGTATACAAAACAGCCATATAATGCCCGTTACTATGCAACCCTGTATGTTTTTTAAGCTATGAACAGCTCTTCCAATCCCTACCTAGTTGCCAAGGCAACGATTGGCTTTTGTTCTTTATTTTGTCAAAAAAATAAAAAAAATAATCACACCCATTCTTACAGGTTATGCACTTCAGATAAACTTTATAACCTTCAGACCATACTGAAGAGACAATATTGACTCAATCCGAAAAGAACGTTTCGGCATACTTGTTAAAATACTTTTCATAGTTTCACCTCTGAATGATCATATTTCCCTATGGAAAGAAAGCAGGCGTTTGTATTGTGTGTGGGTGCGGCCTCTTCTCATAGCATGGGGAGGTTTTCAGGGGCGTGAGGGTGTGTATTTATCAACTCCACCCGGAATTGCGGCCTGTCTACATACTGCCTCTACAGAACAGCACTGTGCTATTAACAACACGGAACAGGTATGTGCCTTCCTTTAGCCTCTTTTCTCATTTTCAAAACTTTGTCAGCATCTTCAAGGTTAATTGATTCAACTTCGGTGTATGTGTTTGCATAGTGATATTCAAATTGTGTAAATCTATGTGGCTGATGAGTTTTGCCTAATGCAAACAGTAGGTAGCCATGTCATGTTGACATGAAAGGCATCTTTAGAGTTTTACAGATATTAAACAAATAACTGAACAATACAACTTTGAAAGAAATGTAGAGTTTAATTTGACTTTTGCTAGCTTTAAACACATGCCTTCATGGGATTCACAGGCACGGTGAAATCCACAGGCCTGTTGACGAGTCTGAACTTGCAGTGATCAAGTTCTTTTGAGTGCAGATTGCACAATAATAAATTGTTATTTAGGGAAGAAGTTAGATTAATCTGCATCAGTAGTTGTTTAGGTGTATTCTTATGTGTATTCTAACTTCTAAAAAACATCTCTGAGGTAAAAGTCATAATGCACCCAAAGCCAATTCATGGGAACTTTATTTGATTTAACATGCATTCATTACGCTTAACATAGTGTTACTTATTAATATCGTATTATCATGCATCCACTCTGGCTCACCATTCACACAGTGCAATGGGTGTGGTGGTTGGTTTCATGGAAGAGTGAGTCATCAACTTGTGTGAGCAGGGAACCAGTAACATAATTTATGTAGTTAAAACAAACATTGACCAAAATTATTTGTGTTTTCAAAGAGAAATAGTTTTATCACTCAACTGCACCCATAAAGACAGATTACTCTTTTCAGTATTAGTATTTCATATTAGTTTTATGTCAGAGGCTATCGCTGCATCTAAAATCACATACTGTCTGAGCAGGTACACACACACACACAGCAAATCATGGACACACACACCCGGAGCATTAGGCAGCCATTTTTGGCTCAGTCATTTCCTGCTGGTATTGAGAATCGAACCTGCAACCTTTGGGTTACCAGTCTGACTCTCTAACCATGACAGCCCCAATGTGGGTAGTATGAACGAAATCCGGATGTACTTAACTTCATCCACCATGTGACCTAGCAGCGTCAGTTGTGTCGCTTCACTGGCATTCTAAAATCCTCTCCCGTGGCCTCATGGGATAGTGAAGTGTCCATCAAATGAATCTGGCAAAAGTAATAGGTCCTCTGGGTACTTTTCACCTACTGTTTTCCGAATACTATGAATTTGGACATACAACTTTTTTGGCATATGTTTTTCATATTCTACATCGTAGGGAAGTATTCGTTTTTGGACGCAGCGTAGCCTATATATCTTCTAATGGAATGGTTGAACTTGTGCATTCAAGATTGTGGGTTTGCTTAAAATAATGTTTTAAAAAAAAGTGTCTTAACAATATAGCATGGCCAATCATTATTTTCTGCCAAATTAACAATGTATTCTCTCTGTTTAGATTTCAGAGATCATGGATGTAAGTACATTTTATCCCCTCAATAATTCTATCTAGTTTAGTGCAAAAAGTATCATGCTATAAGTTCTATTATGTTCTGTTTCAGCTTTCAGATGCCCTCGATTTTTCACAGCCAAGCAACCAGCAGGCAGGGAACCCAGTATGGCCTGGCCAACCAGCCAACCCCATCTGGCCCGGCCAGCCTGCTAACCCCGCCTTGCCTGGCCAACCAGCCAATCCTGGCTGGCCTGGCCAGCCTGCTAACCCCGCTTGGCCTGGACAGCCTGCTAACCCTGCCTGGCCTGGCCAACCAGCCAACCCTGCCTGGCCTGGGCAGCCAAGCCAACCAACATGGCCTGGACAGCCCGGGCAGCCTACAGCTCCTGGCTGGCCTGCACCTGCACCACAAACTGGCCCTTATGGTGCTCCTAATCAAACTCCAATAGCACTAGTGAGATTTCACTTTTCTTGGATTTGTACAACCATCATGGAGTTTGTTCTATAGAATATGTTTTAAATACCTTGGGCTAGTAAACGTCTAAATATTTTAATCTTGTTAAAGTGAACGGTCTGTGTTAAATACAGTAGGGTACAACGGGGCTAAAGGCACACCTTAAGGAACAGGTTTTTCACAACTCCCATAGTGCATGATTGCAGAATATATATAAAAATATATGTTTTTATTGAACATTGATTTTACACACCATGCTCGGTGTAAAAGGCACCCACACATGGTCCAAAAACACAAACAATAAAACAGACAAATACAGAAAAACAAACAGAGTCCACAATATTACATATTTAAATGTAGGTTAAAACGGCTCAACTTAGTGCTGGGTTTATCAGTGTTGAAATCGTACTGTTTGCAGAGTCTGTTAACCTACACATGCATTTGTGCATGATATTGTGCAAAACAGGTGGGCACACCAACACTAACAAATATTTGGCTTGCAATCCTCCATTGTGGCACATCATTATGCTACATTGAGTTTCTGCATGCTGCTCTTTCTGTAGTGCTGCCACAAATGGGGCAGTGTACATAGGGGCACAATATGCTCTAAAAAGTGTAGTCTTCACAGAGTCTGAACACATACTAAATGTTCAAATCAACATATTAGCTTGTGCATACATCATACGACACTGTCTATAAATGTCCCTATCTTCAGACAGGTCATCGGTTATATAAAGTCCTAAGTATTTAGCCTCATTACATACTTTAATGACAATACCAGACAGAGAGAAGTCAGGAAATGACATGTTTCATTTCATGTCTCCTAACAATCATAATAGTACTCTTCTTTGCATTATATTTAATGTCATATAGTGGTTAAGAGTAAAATAAAATGCTCCTTTTACCCCAGTGTGCCTTTAGCCCTGTTGAACCCTAATGGTTCTTGGTTTCTGCTAGTTTACTCAACATTTACTTTTCTTTTCTTTTTTTACAAGCCTGTGCCATTTGATCTCCCACTACTTAGTGGAGCCTTTAACAAGATGCTCATCACCGTCAATGGAGAGGTCAAACCCAACGCTAAAGGGTAAAAACAACAATGCACACACACATAAAAACATGAGAAATTATTACATACAGTACATACACTCGAAGTATTTAGGCCTAAATTTAACATCCGTGTATTGAATTGCATATAAATTTCCCATCCAATTGGATTACACAGTTTTAACATAAACGATTTAATTTAAAGTAGGGTTAGGCAATTTCGGAGAGGCTTGCAATAGCTTTGAAAGCATAAGATCCCACCCTCCCTTCAGAGCGACTCCAAATCCTACAAAAGGCATGAACGCACACAGAGCAGAGTCTGCAAAGCATCACGAGAGACGGCATAAATTACCTCATGTATTACCTCAAGTACATAACATTACAATAATAATGAACGTGAACAACTTAGAGCTCTGACTCGTACCACCCGACTGCTGCAGATTCATTTCACCATTGATTGGCATATAAACGCATAACAGCTCCAGGTAGAACATCACTGGGGGTACCATTGCGTAATTATGGTTAATTAATTTGATGTGTCATTAATGTGATGATATATGTCAGTAAAACTAAAAAAAAGCATGGCAGAGTTTATTATTAACTATTTAATTTGATTTAAATCACATTTTCATAATGCATTTATTAATTTCTTTGAATCAACATAAACCTGTTTATCGTGAAAAGTTACATTTATTCAGTTATATTCTGCATTTATACATTTATTCTGTGGAACAATATTCAGCTAGTTAAAATGTATGAGATTGAAACTAATTTTGATTTATTGGTGAGAAATATATAAACCTGGTTCTTGTGTATTTAAAACGCACAGCCAGCTTATTAGGACTATTACAGAAACCTCTTTCTTACCGATTTAATTTATGTATGTCTGACAAATATGCATTACATTAAGTTTATGAGTTTGTTAAAACTGTAATCAAGTCAAGTCATCTTCATTTATATAGCGCTTTTAAGAATGTAGATTGTTCCAGCTGCTTTACAGTGATAATAGGAAATTAAAGTAACAGAGATTGTAATCCAAATGGATGGAAATTTTCGTATGCAATTTAAATGCATAAATCTTACATTTAGGCCCAAATACTTTTTAAGTGTAATATACATCATAAAGTACATTATACATTTTGTTTTGTCACCACATTTTGGTTAAAGATTATTGTTACCTAGAACATTCATTAAATTAAATTAAATTATGAAATTAAACATGGCCACTTTAACCAACAATTGTGACAATCTCCTTATTTGTGACATCCCTGTGTATTTCATGCGTGTAATCTTATTTTTTTCTCCTCCAATTAGTTTCACAATTAATTTTAATAGAGGCAATGACATTGCCTTTCATTTAAACCCACGCTTCAATGAAAGTGGAAAGCAAGTGATTGTGCGAAACAGCATGATTGGAAACCAATGGGGTAAAGAAGAGCGAGAGCTTCCCTCCTTCCCTTTTGCCCCAGGAAAGCCTTTTGAGGTGAGCGTGGCATCAAACAATTTCATTTCTTATTCATCTCAATGGTTTTATTTTGATCAAACAAATGTCTGAAATATTTACTGTTCGGCCCTCGTTGTATTTAAAGACATTAGGAGGCCCTGAAATAGCATCACTAAAAAGTACTGCAACAAAGCAGACAAAACAAGATCATGCATTTGTCTCCTGCCAAGTTTGGTCAAAACTATTCCATGCGTGTTCAATTGCAACTGATTAAAATTGTTTTGAATTTCAGATGAAGATCTTATGCACTGACACTGAATTCAAAGTGGCTGTGAACAAGTCACACCTTCTGGAGTTCAAACATCGGGTCCGTGAGCTCAACCAGATCAGAGGTCTTAGTATCTTCAATGATGTCACGCTCAGTTCTGTAAATGTGGAGACACTGCAGTGAAATCATACCACTGATTCTGTAATGCTTTCATGTCTTTTGACAATGAAATGTGCCTATATATGTCTTTTGACAATGATTAATACCTATTCAACCACATGTGCAAGTTATTTTACCTCTATTTTTTTAAAACGCTATGTATGTCAACAAGAGTATATATTTACTACAAATGTTAGAGTGATATACATCTGCATGCAAATTTTTCTCAATGCTGTAGTTCGCTTTGGTACCTCTAGGTGGGTCTGTTACTATCTGGGTTGTCATAAGGTTCAGTAGAAGGGTTAAAAGGAATAAATATTTTACATGAACATGATACTGATGATGATGAGGATAATGGCGGGGGTCATAGTGGGGAATGTGATAGTGGCCAATCAAGAATAATGTATAATTAATGTGAAATTAGGACTGGAATAACTTTATGAATGTAAGTTATCTTCAGCTGTAACCAAAGATGGTTCTTCATTGTAAAAAGATCCCATGATTAAAGAAACAACAACTGATGTAAACATTGAGTGCTGGGCATGTAATTACAATCCTCTGTGAGATCTGTGTAGTACACTTTTATTGGCAGCTCCTAATATATAAAATAACAGCAGTGTAAACTGAAGTCAAGGCAGTGGTACATTTTTAATCATGGAAACAGTCTGTCAGAGTTGTTGTCAGAGACGCCCTGATAGAAATCTAATAGAACTGACCTCAATTATGCAGAGATCTATTTATATAGTGCCCGAAGGACCTGATGACTTCAAAGAGTTGAGCCCTGTTGCAACCCACAGATGAAACCTCCAACGTTGTATAAATAATGTGCATACATTTTAAGAATGTTCCTTTGGGGATGTGCCCATTCAGGGTTGTGAATGTGCCTCATTCAGTCTGTACTTTTCAGACTCAGGGAAACATGCATGTAGATTTAAACAAGAAGATATATATATATATATATATATATATTACAATTTTATATATTTGTTTTCAATGACCCTACAAGTGTGATTAAACCATCAAAAAAAATGATGATTTTTTAAAATATTTTAAATATGAAGAAAGAACAAAACACAGAATTTGGTTAAGGGTTTTATCTGGCAAAAAAAATCTGAAAAACAAAAAGCTCACAGGAAAAAGTACATACGACTAAAACATAATCGGTTATTAATATTTTGTTGGTTCTCTAGTGTTTTTGCATGTGTTCACAATTTCTTTGTATGACAACCTGACCAAAGATTATATCCGCACAATTTGACATGTTAAAACGATTGACTCCAAGCACAACTATGCAAAATGCTTACAAAATCTTTAACACATTTAAATAATAATAATAATTGAATAAAGGGTGAAGATGTCGATTTTCCAAGGCTAGTCTTCACATTTTGTCACAACTAGGCTATGTAAGTATGTTCTTGTTAATTTTAGTCCAAAAAGTGAAATAGTATAAAGTTGTAGAATGCCATAAGATATTTTATTTTATTTCTCTATTTTGGGACACTATTATAGTAAATAAAAATTCAGTAATTAAACTAAAACAATGCAAAAATATTCCAATCCTTGAAAATCAGAATGATTACAAAAATCGTTAAAATCATTCTTTTGGACAGAAAACTTACTGGTAATAAGGAAATATGTTATTAATTGTTACCGCAGTAGAATGTAAAAATGTGTGTAATATAAAAACCTACTTGTGCCCATCCCAATTAGTGCTCTATATTTCTATTCTAGGTGGGTGCGTGCACGCTCCCTAGCGTGCCTTTATGCGCGTGCTCGTAATATATGAGGCAGTGCCCGCTGCGCGTTCACCTGATCTGATCAGACACACAGAGAAATGAAGCGTAGAGTCCTGAAGGACACACGACTTAAAATTATGACAAGATGATATGAATTCACTGCAGTAAAGACAGAAGAACAAGTCGACGAAGAGTTTCCCCATCAGCAAGTGATCTGACCTCTCCATTTTGACTTTTATTCTATTTTTTCTCAGGTCAGTTTTTATTCTTCTATTTCCTCATGTTAGGCTTATTGCTTCTACGTGTCAGTCAGAAATACCTTTATATGTGGCGTTACCAGAGTTTAAATGGATTTATTTGGCATCTAAAGTGATTTAGATATAGCATTTATACAGTGTTTTTTCTCTGTTGACTCGGTTTGGCATATAACGTTACTGAGCGGAACTAGCATTTAAACACTTCCAAAACAGGACATGTATCCTTAATAGAATCTAAATGACTTATTTTTGATAATTTATTGATTATGCATGTGTATTTAAATGCATATAATCGTTTAAGAACTCCCATTTTTCTCTCCTCTAGAGAGCAGATGTATGTCATGGCGTTTCTGTCAGTTAGCTTTAGTGCTAATGAGGATAGACGCAGTACTATCACACTAACTCGAAAAAAAAATAACTCTTAATATTAATATGTATTTATTTGTCAGTTCCATCATTTTAAAAGGGTGTAAATAAGTGCAGATTATCTTGCAGGTGTTTATCTTGTGTTCCCTAATGAATAACTTTGTTGACGACTTTTTTTCTCTTTTTTTTTGGTGCAATGGCCAGTTCCTAGTTGTAAGTTTTTCAGTTTCCCATGTTGTTTATTTTCATTTAGCTTTCAGGTTTGTTTTTATTAATTTAATGAAGTGTGTCTTATACTGTCAGATATGCTGAATTATAAGTGTTTTTGGTGGTTTTCAAGAAGTCACATTTGAAATGACTTTCTGACTCTCTTGAACACTTTCAGATGACCTACAAATGAGAATTTGGCAAACATGCTGAATTATACCCATCATAAGCCATATTATAAGGATATGATCACAACAACATGCTAATTGTATGGATATGATTGTATGACTTCTGTAGAGATCTCTCTACCGCATCTACTTGCTGTCATTTAACACAAACACGGACACATCATGTGCATTAGTTGACCTGAGAAAACATGGTAAGATATTGGATGTGAGCGAGACGTTAAATCAGCAAAAAACTTATAATGTTTAACCACTTAATTAGATATCTGAACTTTGCCCCCCGTGTAAGGTGCTGATACAAGCATCTCAGTTATACCTGATGCAGAAATTATTTAATCAATTTTTACCAGATATATTAAATAAATGTTTGCTTATTAAATGCATTGTATGTATAAATTAAAAACTACTTAAAATTATAGCTTTTTTTTTTACACTATAGGCCTAGGTTATGAGACACTAAGAAGCAACCTTTACTGAAAATGGTCAAACAAAAATAATATTGATCTATCTCAAATTTTTTGTAGTTGGTACAATTCTGCTTTCCTGAAGACATGCTTGTTGCCAAATTTTGATCTGAAGCCTGGCTTGTTTTAACAGGTCAGTTGGTACCAACATTGGGCTGATCTGCAAGCCTTGTTTTTCTGTAATGGGGGAGGTGGAATGAGCATTTTGAAGCTCTACAGTTTTGGTAATTGCAGATCAGGAGTGCAAAGAGTGGCTTTTATCTTTTGCTGGTCAGCTGTTATGAGGCATGTCAAAACCAGGCCATACATCCCGTTATAGACGTGATAAATGTTCTCATGGTTATTTGTCAGTGTGTGGGGTAGTTTTGTTTGTGGTTGCAGCAATTTTCTGCTGTCCTTTTGTTATCTAGAATGCCATGTTTTATCAGATACATGTGCATTTTCCTTTTTTTAGGTTTTTTAATTCAGGTGAGTCGATGAGATCAAGGTGTCACCCAGTGCTTTTTCTTCTACAAGTTTTTTAAATCTAGATTTCAGTCATATCTTAGAGAACAACTTGAGTTGCAGAATAGCCTGTGAAGTTGTTGTAAAGCAAACATACATTTGATTTTACAATACACAACCCAGAAAGTCCAACACCAACCGGTGCTTAATGACTCTTGACTGGTTAGTGTGATGCAGAGGCATACCACAATTGTATAGTGATGACATGCAAATTAAGTTTTTAGTGTTTTGTCAAGTTATTTTAGTTATGCCACAGAAATCTAGCATATAGTCTCAGACCACATCTAATGAGTACTTTAAACAATTCCCATTATCAGACCATTCAAGAGGTTGGTTTATTTGGCAGGCATTTTAAGTTTATTTGGCAAGTAAAAGTATTGATTTAAGCAACCGGTGTCATGTTGAAACGTGCAGAATTGCACCAGCTGCTCTCCTTTGGCGTTTTTCTGTCTGCCTAATGCAATGCAGTGAGAATATACCTAGTTAAGTGAACGCTTCATAAAGCACAATTGAGCACAGCCACCTGTTTGAATGCAATGAGCCCTGTGGCGCTTGCAAGGGAAGTCTGACAAGTGGACCGCTTCCACAGCTTAAGAACCTGTTTGGTCACTCGTCCTGGAGTCATGTGGCAGGCTAAAGGGAAGTGTGAAGCAGAAAGGTGTATCTTGCCTCACTCGGCAAACCACTGAAAGCTTTTATACAAGCCTCTCGCAGGGAAGAAATACCCAGCAGGTTGGGACAAGCTTTTGTCTTGAACATAGTCAAGTCTGCAGGATAGTGTGTGGTTTGGATCGCATTGCCTTCTTTCGAACTGGGGTTTAGTGTGTTTTTCATCAAGCTTGAAATGCTTTGAAGTATTTGTGTGGCGAAATGTTAAACCGTGGCTGACACACTCTGCATTATTTGAGCGGCACGTGAAATCCAGAGCCGTTGTTTTTCACTATTAATAATGCAGTCTTAATGCATGCTGTTTTCTCGTCTACCTCTGACCAAGTCTTTTTGTTCTGGTTTGACATGATGGTTTTGCCTAATGTTTATGGGCAGAAAAGCACAACGGGGATGTATTAAACTACATGCTTTTAAAATTCAGCAAGTCTGTGGCTTGCCTGAATGACTAATGTACTGAATAATTGGGCAAAGGAAAAAAATCCACTTAAACAAGCTGACCTCACTCATGGACGATGATGTATTAGTCATTAAAAATGTAGTGGACTGTCACTAAAGTTAGAATTTTTATCAGATTAAAATATGATGTATGTGCTGATAGACACTATCATTGAAAAGTTTGTGGTTAAGTAAAAAAGAAAAGAAAAAATAAATTAATACTTTTATTTAAAGAACACATCAAAAGTGACAGTAAAAACATCTATAAGATTTCTATTTCAAAAATTCTTTTTTTTTTACTTTCTATTCTATTCATCAATGAATCCTGAAAAAAAAGTATCATGTTTCCACACATGTGATAATCAGAAATGTTTCTTGAGCAGCAAATCGTCATATTAGAATGATTTCTGAAGGATCATGTGACACTGAAGACTGGAGTAATGATGCTGAAAATATAGAAATATTTATAGTAATAAATTACATTTTAAATTAAAGCTGCAAGCAGCGATGAAGAGGGCCCTCGCACCCGTGCCACCGCTATAACCAAATATGAGCATGGTTATGTGTTCAGGACAGGACTCTTATCAAACACGTGAAGTTTGGGGCAGATCGGACATTAAATGCCTGAGTTACTGCAGGCTGTCTGTGGTTGCGTAGCAACATCGGAACTGCAAGCAATATTGAACTATATGACATATTCATGCACAAATCACCAAAAGGCTGAAATTGGGTGTACATTTGTCAGGCCACCAAGGGCACACCCTTCGACGAAAACTCAAGATCTTCGCAATTTAACGTCGCAAAGGCCTTAAGATTACACTCACCAAATTTGAAGAGGATCAGATCAAAACTGTAGGAGGAGTTCGTTAAAGTACAACGTCTGGAAATGGCAAAAACTACACAAAATCTGAGAGGAAATTCAAAATAGCTGACTTCCTGTTGTGTTTAGGGCTATGCTCCAAGAGACTTTTTTGTAGGGATTGTGTCATTACATGTATGTACCGAATTTCACACCTGTACGTCAAACGTAGAGCCAGGGCAATAATGTAGGGTGCGCTATTGAGCCATTTTGCCCCACACATTTGTCAGGCCGCCGAGAGCACACCCTTCGACAAAAACTCAAGATCTTCGCAATTTAACGTCGCAAAGGCCTTAAGATTACACTCACCAAATTTGAAGAGGATCAGATCAAAACTGTAGGAGGAGTTCGTTAAAGTACAACATCAGGAAATTACGAAAAATGCACAAAATCTAGGAGGAAGTTCAAAATAGTTGACTTCCTGTTGTGTTTAGGGCTATGCTTCAAGAGACTTTTTTTGTAGGTATTGGGTCATTACATGTATGTACCGAATTTCATACCTGTACGTGAAACGTAAAGCCGGGGCAAAATGTGGGGGCAATAATTTACCGAATTTGCCTCACCCAATTTTGAAAACCATATCACACGTAAATTTTCACCACTTCTGAAGCGTGTGCAAAGTTTCATGAGTTTTCGAGCATGTTTAGGCCCTCTAAAAAGTGATTTATTTTAAGAGAAGATGAAGCGGAATAATAATAAACGGAGCAAAAACAATAGGGTCCTCTCACCATCGGTGCTCGCCCCTATTCCAATAGAAAAACAGTTATTTTAAATGGTAATATATCACAATATAAATGTTTCTACTGTATTGTTGATCAAGTAAATGTAACCTTGCTGAACATAAGAGACTTTTGATTGTAGTTTATGTAAAAAGTCAAATAAAGTTGTCATATTTGACTCCTCTTTCATACACAAGCCCACATTAGAGTACATTTTGTGCATGCTAAACTCACATTTCACAGGGAGTGACTCAGTGCAGATGGTCTGTCGATTCCTACTAAGAACATTGGCGTAGCTGGAACACCTTCTTATTGAGGTCATACGGCTGTGTTCACATGTCTGCTCATTATTACAGACGTTTATGACAGCGGCTGATTTAATAGGACAGCGAGAGAGAAGACAGATAGCAGTTATAATGGTAACAGATTTGTTTTGGAACGCCGATTGCACAAGGTGTGCACAGCCTATCAGGTTTCAGCTGACGGAGAGTTCAAAGGCCTGGTTTTGTCTGAGGTCATGCAATGGACCTTGTGTATATCTGTGCTGTATTTTTATGCTGCTTGTGCTTGCTGGTTGTGTTGGGTTGGGCCGTTGATATGCTTGTTGACCTGACCTAACTATTCCTAGTATGGTGTCAGAATAGCAGCATAGTATTTGGCAACAGGACGCTTCCACATGCACACACCCTTATTGTGGACGGTCCCTCAAAGTGCCACAGAAGCAATTATAGAGCATGTGTGAACTTCTATCAAGATGTGAAATTCAGAGCTGGGGCTGTTGGGTAATCGGAGGCTTTACTGGTAGTTGTTGATGTCTTATTTTGTATCTAGTAGTTTATTTTGAACTACTAACCTCTTTCGAAGGAGTTCAGTCTGCTGAGTGGTTAACACTGGTTGGTTCATGGATCATAATAAAGTCTTCTGATATCATATGCAAACATTGCTCTCAAACAGACTTGTGTATCTACTCAAACACTCTTTTGTCATGATAATCTTATGCTAAAATTGATTCTTTATAGATTTAGTATGTTGCAGTTATATTTCTAAGTATTTTTGACTATTGAATTTGTAATCAATTTGGACATACAAGTCTGATTATTGACTTCTAGCTTAACCAATTATTGAATTTTAAACATCAGCACATATAACAACCATGTAGCAATCAAAATAACAGGACAGAGAGGGCAAAGATAATCGCAAGCTTGTTTGTGACCCGAGAACGTGTAAGAAGGCAATTTGAGAAGGCGAATCATTGCACAATAGCACCACAGCCCATCTGCAGCTCAGTTATGGGAAAGAAAACTCCCAAGTGCTTTGATTTGAAATGGGTCCAAGTCAAATATTACAGCAGATTCTGTGCATTGAAAAATACATTAACTCCCTTTGCTGGATTTGAAATAGAAAACCACAGAGTTACTTCAAAATTTTTGAAGAAGGGAAGTTGCAGTGAAGAACAGAGAAGTGAACCTCAGTCTGCTGAAAGTGAAATGTACTTAGATGTGCTAAATTTTAGGACAACAACATCAGTGCACTCTAGTGTTGTCAAAAATATAGATATTTCGTTACATATCAATGCTGAAATATCTGGAACTTTTACTTTTATTTATTTTTTACATGGTAATTCACAGGTTTTAATTGCAAAACCCATACATTTGAGAGTATTTACGGTAAAATTACATATAATGTGATGTTAAACCATTTACAGTTTTTCATGTTTTTACTGTAGCATTTTTACAGTATAGTTTGTCTTTGCACTTGTTTTGTTTAGTTTTTTCCCCCAAACTAGTTCTTTATTGCAAAGGGCATCTATTTGTAATTTAGTGCAAAAAGAGTAGTATTTTTTTTTTTCAATTCATGTATTTATTTATTTGAATAGAATTGCATAGATGGTACTTTTTACAACACTAGAATGTATACTGTGCTTAGTATGTGAATTATCTGACTGCACAAAATCAGTGGGTGACTTGCTACTTTTGCATGCTGCGTGAAATACTGTATGCCTCAGCGCAAAGTGCTCAACTTGACCATTTAAGTTCATGTGTGATGAGTGCACTGGAACTATTATCAACTGCAGTTAAATCCCTTGATTTATAATTTGTTTAAACTGCAAAATATTTGTAATTTTGGAAATTAAAAATGGTTGAATTACTAATTTAAAGTCCCCCTGTAGTCAATAGTTGTATCCCTTCACCAAAATTACACGTTTAGATGTTTTTTCCTTAAACAAAATTCTTCATGCCTTAAAATAGCTTGAGCGTAACTCTACACCCTTGCCTCATTTAGCATATGTGGTTGTGGTTCTATGAATATGCAAATTAGCCCCGCCTCCACTCACTCACACCAGCTCAGAGAACCACTCATTGACGATCACACGTTGACGTGATTGGTTACAAGGTAGTTTGTGACGTCAGAAACACCAGCGATTTCAAACCGTGTTTTTGATACAGTCTTTGGTTCACTGCATTTTTATAGAGAAAATACTCAGCAATGGTGTTGACTTATGAATTTGCACATGGTTTGTTTTAAAGCATATTAAAAACACCACATAGATAGACATAAACAACATTAAAAGCTCGTAATCATGCAGTGTAACATGCTACTCTTTGAACTGTTTTGCATATAATTTTTGATAAATATTTGGCAGCATAGTTTGCAGTGTGCAGTATTTTAGAGTTGACATGACTAGGCCTATACCATGTACCTTTGTCCCTTTTAGTTTGGACTTGATGCTCCAAGACACTTTTAACAAACTCAAAGGCTCCTCTGTTTAAGAGCAGCTGAAAATTCTTGGGTTTGTAGCATGAGAGAGGTGCATGGCTCTTTGATTTATGCTCTTATGTTTTTACAGCGTCCGAGATCTGGAAAGATCTATGAAAGCCATTGTAGCAGCTGGTCTGTTTTAGACGGTCTGGAAATGGCATTGTGTAAGCTTAGGAGCCGCCCCACCTCTCCTTTTGAATGAGTGCCATTGTTTTTGGAAAAGCTTGAGCAAGTTCAGGTAAAGGAAGTGTGATATGAGAAGTTCCCCGGCCCTTAAACGACACCATGCGTTGTGCAGTTGTGTGTGTATATTTTAGTATATTTCATTTTAGTTACTGTTTGTCTTACATTTTGTTTTGCTTGCATCACTGCTTGCAAAGTTTGTGCACGCAGATTCTGCACTCAGTCCCCGTCCTTCAGCGAAGGTCCAAAAGTATTGATTATCTTTGCCATTTATAGGCATGCAAGGATCTTGAATAGCCCATTGGCTCCTTATCAGACCTGCGTTTATATCCTCTGGCAGGCGCACACGTGCTTGTAAGCGGAGCCCTCCTGTCCCGGCCAATCACAGCTGCTTTGGTGAAATTCTGGAGGGTGTCAGTCAGACCAATAAAACCACGTGCTGTGCTGAAGACTGTGTACATACTATCCTCTGTAATGGAATACTGTGCAAATGTTGAACCGGAGGAATTTACAATGCATTGACTTGCCGAATAGCTTGGATGAATGTGAGTATACTTTTTTGTCATTTAAGTGTAAAAAAAATATATACTTCAGAGAAAGACTTCTAGCTACCTGTTAGGCAGTTGCTCATTTGTGGATCCGCCCCAGGAGCTGCATGAACATGAGTACTCGGAACACACGGATAGAAAGAGGAAATGAAGTTATCTCTGCTTTGTTTTGGTCTCTCCATTGAGACTATGCAATCTTGTCTACTGGTGAGCTCAGCCAGTGTCTGTTTTATTAGCAAGCGTTTCGGTGAGGACGTATGTTGGGACATGGGGCAACTGTTCCAAAACAATTTTTTTTCAGGCTTATCTGCTCTTCATGGGTGAAGTATCTCTTTGAAAACAAACTGCTTGGCTGCTTTTCTAGCCCCTGGAGTGGGAATGGGCATAAGAGATCCAGAGCCATGTGTTCGGTTCAGCGTGTGCACATTTCTATTTTATTTCTGCTTCCAGATGAGATTGTCTGTCATAATCAGTAGCTGTAGTTTGACCTTCAGAGTGTGAATCTTTTTTTATCACTTGACATGTTACATGACATGCTACTATAGCAAGTAGTTTATATATATATGTATGTGTGTGTGTGTATGTATGCGTGTATAAAATTGTGCATTAAATCTTAACAAAATCTTAACAAAATGGTGCTGTGGCCCAGTTTGTTACCAAATCAGGTTATTAAAGCTTCTTCCCATCAGTGTTCCCTGTCTCTTATGTAGGTTTCTGTGTCTCTCTTTGTGATAGCCTAGTTATTTTGGAATTACACCCTCACAAGTGGTTACTGCAGACCTCATAGGCTATTTAAGGTAAACTTAACTGTGTTTCCAATAGGCTTTGAGGGTGCACAATTACTTTATACAGTCTAGAGGTCAATCTGTGATGCTTTGATGTAGGGTTGTCTTGTCACAGTAACAATTTTAGTCGGTACCATTGCAAAAACTATTGTAACTATTTTTTTTATATTAACACTGCATTACAGTTAACATAACAATTGGCAGACTTAATACACCGATCTATTTTGACATATCTGATTTTTGTGTCCTTCCGTGGTCAAACATTGCAAATTCAGATTCAATCCCACATTTTAATAGGGTTGTCACTCCTGAAAGTTTGCAGTGTACTAATTTAACTTATGAATAGGTTATAGCTATACAGTAACTGACCAATGAACGCTTTTAACCAAAGCTGATATCACTTTAGTTCAGCTGCAGCCGTTAAAATGCTGCCTATACTGTACAGTGAATCTCTTATTTACATCATCTTTATATGTTGTTGGTTATAACAAAATGATTCGCAACGTGCAGAGCTCAGGCTTTAACATACTGGTATATTTGAGTGGATTCTGACTTACTTAAACGCCTCTGATTGGGCATTGTGTTCACGCACTCAACAAACATGTCTATGATTGGCTACAATGTGCAACGCTTTTGATGCTCTTCACAGAGCGCTTGCACAAATACACACAGGAGCGTTTGAAAGTAGTGTCTATCAGAGGGTACCGGTTTGACACGGTACTCAATACTACCGGTACTGCAGAAAGGCTGGTATTGTTAAATTTTTTTAATTTACAGTTTCATGTTCTGTCGAGGCACAGCATGTAGCCATTGCTGCAAGTGGTTAGAAGAATTATCACTACAAAATGGTACTAAAGAACCTATAGGGCATGTTTTGTTCACCACTAACCAGTGTGCAGAACCTTTTAAAACAGCATATTGCTCATATCAGCTCATAGAAACCAGATGATGCAAGAGAACAGATTTTGAAATAAATCAGTCCGGGTAATTGGTATAAATCAATGTGTGCAGATTGGATTTTGCTTAAGCTGTTTATTAAGAATAATCTGTTTAAGATTATGCATATAAACACACTCGGTTACATTCATATTTTGGCTTTTTTATGCTAAAAATGTATGACTCGCAAATTAGGAATACTACAACAAAAGCTTTACAAACCTAGGGACACAGAAAACAAGAGACGTGCTGCAGTAAAAGTTTCCAGAACTGCTTAGAAAAGTCCCAAATATGAGCTAGTACACTACAGAGATGTACGCCAGACACTGAGACCACAGAAAGAGAACTGAGAGGAGTTGAAAGTAATTGTTTTAATAGTTAACAGTTCAATAGTTAAGTCAAGTGCTCATGGAAGAGTCTTTAGAAGTTTCCTGGTAGAGAGAGCTTCAGCTGTTCTAATGGATGCCTTTACTACTGATAGAACTGTACAGACTAATAAAAATATCTGCAATAAATTTTAACTATACTATAAAAAAACTATAGTTGGTAATAAGTTTATACTATTAGGGTCTTGTTTCAAAACTGTCCTTATATAGAATGTACATGTGTATTCAAGTTGGAAAGCCAAGCTGTTCTCAGTTTTGTCCATCAATGTTGTTTTGCAGTGAGGCTGGAGTCCTGAGCTCTTCTGTTGGGAGACATCGCTCATACTGGAGGGAGGAGCCTAATGCCTCAGAAATGTGAAACTATCAGTTACTGCAACCCCACCCCTTACCGGGAACCACGGTTACGAGCCTCCAATCCGCCATCAGTCTGGAGGTAATTAGTACTTACTGCACTCAAGCCTATACATGACATCACACATTTTGAGGGTAATTTGATGGTAATTCACTCACTTACATTTGTTTAGATAGACTGAATCAACTTTGGTTTCAGCTGTTCATTTCCAGAAAAACAACATAGACTCTTTCATCTCTTCATCATCATCACAGATCTCGACCTCCTTCAGGGATGTTTTTCATTATTTTGTTTGGACACAACAGCCAACATCAGCCCTCAGCTAAATGTTTTCATAACAAAAACTTTAAAGATGTTTAGAACATGTATATTGAATTTTGTGCTGAGCGGTGGTAGAACTGTTAGCACACGTTAGCCATGGTTCTCATGTTGACAATTTTCCATCCCGTCTTACCATGGCAAACAAACGTAGGTTTTAGCATATTGTGCTATCCAGTGGGAAGAGAAAAACAAGCTTTTTTGTATGCGTCCAGCTTCACAAAAAAGTGAGATCCTGTTCGCATCTCACCAATAGTTACCCCTCTGTTGTTTTGTCTTGCTAAGCTACGACTACATAAGCTATAGACTGCGCGACACATGTGGTGAAGTGTGCAGACCCAGATGCTCAGCCTTTTCTTGAGGAAGAACACAGTGTTACAACACAATTGGAGCAATGTAGTCTTCATAATCGTGACCTCATCCTTGTTCAATTTTTTTTCTTTTTTCCCAATCAGTTTACCAGGTCCTCTGGCAGGCCCCTTATAGAGGAAGTCATGAGCGTTTACAAGAAGACGTCATCCTTTTCATTACTCAATCTGATGTTTTGTTTTTCACTTATGGGTATTTGTTTTCTTTTTACATAATGTTGTTGTGCTTTTTTGCCCTTAAATTATCATTAGCTCACACATGTGTTTTGGCCCATGGTCTTAAGGAAACTCTGAGTTGTGAGTGCGTTGAGGGCAAGGGCTGGGCGGCAGCTGTATGTTGTTGCCAGGTTGTGTAATGAGTAAAAATCAGCATTTGAGTGCCAGATAGGAGCTGGCATGCCTCCAGGGTAATCATACTCCTGTCCAGCAATGGTGCTGCAGTGTGTTTCTGTGCAAACTGGGAGGTTCTTTAGAGGTTTTGAAGTAATCAGTACAGTGCTACAGTCTCTATTATGTGGTATTTTGCCATCCATCAATACAAAAGTCAAATTAGATGTTCCTGAACAAAGGGGGGATGCTATCTATCTATCTATCTAAATCCATTAGCTTTTTATTTCAGTGGTGACCTTTTAATCAGACTACCTTGTCGTTTATGTCAGGTCAAGTTATTTCCAACTGTTGAATTTATGTACATCTAAAGTGAATCTACTATGTTTGAGCTTTACTAGCACAAAAAAATGTTGTAAGAACAGGAAGTCCGAGGCAGGGTTGTACCAGGAAATGTGAGTGGCTTCGATTGTCCATGGATATGGGTACACTGTTGACTTGCCTTTTGTGTTGTCCCTCTTTTTATCCAAGACAACAGCTCAGCCAAACGATTTTGACCTTAGAGATTGGCCTCTCCCGCCGTTTTCCACAAAGGAAGGTTGGCACAGGAGGAGATGTGCTGGGCTATGCAAGCTTTCCAAGGACACACCAAATGCTATTCTCTCTTCTCAATGGACATGGCACTTTCCATGTTTGCCATCCAATAAATGGCTGCGACCCACATACCTCCTCCCTTTTTGAGAAAGCCTGCCGCCTCCCACTCTCACTTTGGCTCCGAAATGGCTGTCCACACTGTCCGAATGCCATCCCATGTTGTCACGTGAGAATCCCTAGTACCACTTTATCAGGTCTGAATCTGCAGTTGAAGAATGCCTTATATGCACTTGTCTTTGAGAGTTCAGTCCTCCCACACATAGATACTGCTATTGGTGGTGCTTGCAGGCTTGTTTGTAGGGCAGCTGTGTCTGTGTCAGCTGAGTGCTTGTGTTAGAGCCCAGCTGTGTCTGGACCTGGGTGGCTCTGCTCCCATTATGTCAGCCTAAGGGCCAGAGGGAACAGCTAGCCCTTGTGCTCACTGTGAAACTACTACTTCTGCTGGAGGAGTTATTTGCCATTTTGCATACGTTTTACAACAAACGGAATCATCAGACCCAAACGCATTCCTAAGAACCCGCTGCAATGACTTTTTATCAATTTCAAGATTTTCTTTTTTTAATCATTTTAGTATTTTACAGCTAATGTGCTTGAACGGAATCCACTGTTTTAATGTTATGAATCGAGCACATATAAACAAAATACTTTTTGGTATTGAGTTTGCTTCATTGACTAGAGACATGCATCATATTAGCTCATTAGTAAAGACTCCAAGCCCCCAGATGGGTGTGCCAAATAAGAGAGAAATAAAAAATGTGCAGTGTTGGGTTACTCCTGGATCAGGATTGGAAACCACTGAAATGGTTAACCTGAAAATGAAAATTAGCACTTTATTCCACCTCATATGTTTAACAGAATATGCTGCTTTTTGTCCATACAGAGAAAACATGTAGTGACTATGGACTGTCAAGCTGCAAAATGTACCATTTTATCAGTCCCTTCAACTTGGCCCATATTTTAAGTCTTTTTGTAGTTTAAATGAATGGGCTTAAGTTCTACTTGACCGAAATATTCCTTTAAGATGGATGTGCATCCTTGAAATAGTATAAGTAGTTTTGTCCTTTTTAAAAAAAAGAATTTATCTTTCTTGCCATTTCTCTTTTATTTACCCTTTAGTGGAACAGTTTAGTGGATTTGTTTTGAAATTCTCTTTTTTTGTATCCCTTTTGTTTAGGTTTACTACCATGCTTCTCAAGCCATACCCCAAACCACAAGATAAGGAGATACATCGGGAATCTGTGCACGATGGAACAAGAGGCCTCCATGTCGACCAGCAGGGAGTGTTTAGGAAAGAGTGGGGTGTTCGCCAGTCGTGTGGCCTCATGGGCTCATCTGGCAACGGTACAGCCAACCGGTGTCCCCTCAGTGTCATCTCCACCAACACCCTCCGATGTAGCACCAACAGTGGGAGCAATGCGCCATCTAGAGTTAGTGGAACCCGCAAGAGCAGAGCATCCTCTGTCACATTTACTACTTCTTTAGTTCTGCTCTCACCTTCAACTGGTTTGGAGAATGATGGAACACTTAGGATCTACCAAGGAGAGGATGCAGAGGGATCTTTGGATATATGGGCTGTCATTAAACCTGGGAACACAAAAGAGAAAATTGCCATTTTTGCAGCTCAGAAGTGCGGCAATACTTGCAATAGTGTCATTGACAACACCTCAACACCTCAAGAAACAGAAGCCATTGCTCCAGAGCTGCGGACTGTCTCTGTGAAAAACAAAGGCTGCTGGGATGGTGACTGGTCTGTGGCTAAGCGCAGGAGGAGGTCTGGAAACCCGGAAAAATCAAAAAGTGTAGAACCTCCGTTACCAAAACCTGAAATACAGATAGTGTCTCAACAAGAGGCCCTCAATGAGAACATCAATCCATGCCAAGAAGTTGCAGAGGATGCTGTCAGGATGGACGGAGAAGAGGATGAAAAGATTCTCTCTGTGGTGGAGATGGTGGCATACTTGGAGCAAAGAGCAAGCGACCAGCAGGTTAGCTCCAAACCCCCTTCCTTAAGAAGCACCAGCAGCATCACTTTGTCCAAAGTTGGAACCATCCCTCAGCCTGCAGAGCAACAGTCCAAGGTTGCAGAACAGCTGGAGGACCAGGAGGAGGAGGAAAGTGAGTCTGTTCGAGTTCTGGATATGGTGGCCAAGTTGGAGTCTCAGTGCCTGAGCAGACAAAGCCTCCGGGAAGGTGGAGGAAACCTCTCTCGAAGCAACAGCTTACAGAGGAAGGTGGGGCGTGTGCTTCTAGCAGGGTCAGAACCTTACCTGCTGCCATCTCAGCCAGTGTCGCCCTCTGTCCCTCAGGACTGTAGAGCTGAGAGTGTCCCACTGGAACTGGGTAGTGATTTAGACAAGCTGCGTTACCCATCTAAGACCCTTGAGGTGACAGAGACCTCGCAGTGTGGGCTTGATAACTGCGCCCTCAAGGAGGAAGAAAGTTCTTGTATTGCAAGACAGGGAACTAGCACAGCTGTTGAGATGGTAAATAACCTGCAGTCCTCGCCAAAGGATGCCAGCTCAGAGTGCAATGAGGAGCCGCTACCAGGCATGTTGTTTTTTGCCAAATCTTCTCAGCCTCTAAAGGAGCAAATCTTATCAAAGAGCAAATCTCAGAACAAAGAGCCTTCTCACATCGAGGATTTTGAGCCTTCTGTGGACACTTCAGTGTCTTTCAGAGAGGAGAGCAGAGATGGACTTGTGGGTGAGCAAAATCATCAAAACTTTGAGGAGACAAAGGGAGTAGAGACTTGCGTAGTTAATCAGGAGCCTGTGCCTTTTCCATTACGCCGCCTAGTGTCTCATGAATTCCTAGAAGCTCGCTTCAAGATTCAGCTACTTTTGGAGCCTCAGCAGTACATGGCTTTCCTGCCTCACCACATCATTGTAAAAATCTTCTGCTTGTTGCCTACTGAGAGCCTGGCTGCCCTCAAGTGCACCTGCCATTACTTTAAATTTATCATTGAGAGTTATGGCGTACGGCCAGCAGACTCTCGTTGGGTTAGTGATCCACGCTACAAAGACGATCCCTGCAAGCAGTGCAAGAAGCGTTACGACCGTGGTGATGTTTCGCTCTGCCGTTGGCATCATAAGCCCTACTGCCAGGCACTACCATATGGCCCAGGCTACTGGATGTGCTGCCGCAAATCTCACAAAGACTCACCTGGATGCAACGTGGGAGTTCATGACAACCGCTGGGTCCCTGCCTTTCATAGCATCAACATGCCAATTTACAAGAAAAACAGGGACACTGAAGAGGACTCATAGTTTGCCAGAAATTCACATGCAGTGTGCGTTTATGTAAGAGTGACTAGTTTGAATTGGCTATGTGTTTTCTGTGCCTGCGGGTTGCCAATGAGCATGTGCGCTTTTGATGTATAGTGCTTACAACCAGGTTGCTGAAACTAATAAGAAATTGCTGGGTCTCTGTACTTTTACTCTGCCAACCAATCAGCAGTTCTCCTGTCGAAATCCCTCCTCAGGTCTTTAATGTTGGTCTGCACTTTAACCTTTTAAGATTGAATTTTGCAGAGTTCTATCTGGGTACTGCTTGATGATTTTTACTTCGAGTAAGCATTAATGACTAACTTATTTTCTCAATCCACCCACCATTCTTTTTCTGTTCTTCATGACACACCCTGGCACTTCCTGCACTGATGTTGACCTAGCCTTGCAATATTAAACAATTTTTGAGAATTCATTCTGTTTATCTCCCTGTGTACTTGCAAACATGAACTCTTGGCCAGTAGGGTTATTGAGTTAATGATATTTGCTCCATTTCCCCATCTTCCGTTATCATCTCTTATAAGTTCTGGGATATAAGTTGGCGCAATGGCTTCACGACTTGATGGGATTGACTTTTTGAGATTGTTTTGAGCCCAGATGTTTACATTGTACATAGCACAGAATCCTATATATCATAACGGTGATGAATGATGGCACGAGTGTGACAAAATGCATTTAATCTTAATATGGGGTAAAACGCCTTGTACTTTTTATGATATCTATGTGAAATGGTCACTCTTGTTCTGCAGTGGGACTCTTCTGATTAACCCCTGTGAACAGGTAGTGCATATTCTTCTCAATTTTTAAGTATTGATATGTATGATGTATTGTTTCTTGACTGGAAACATTTGAATGTGGGAAGAGAGTTTCTCCATTTTGACAGTAACTAACTGAACACCATCTGAAAAAAAAAAGAAAATTGCAGTATACTGTTTTCCAAAGTGTCAGATTTTTAAAAATTATTAATGACATTGCTGTGCTCTGCCTGTTAAGGCATTTTATTTCAATAAAGTATATCCTGAAGAATTTGTAACCCATGTTCTGCTCTCCTTTTTTGCTTTTGTATATTTACACTGTTTGAATCCACAGAAAACAACCTTACACAGTATGCCAGTTAGCCATACATTTTCTTTTAGATTAGTGTAAACACTGAGTGGTTAATTGCTGGCTGATAGGTATTCATTTTGGACAGATGTCATTTGGTAAAACATTTGAATTTAAAGTACATTACAAATTTTGTACATGAACTATTGAAACATCAATTTAATTTCCAAACTTTGAATCCATTCTTTATCTATTAGCTTTCATTTAGGGTTCTTACGTTTCAAGTTGTTTTGACTTCAAATGCACGTTTTTGAGTAAAAGATACTGGGCAATAAAGCCTGCACATTTCTGTTGGTTTCCCATGGAGAAAAAATGTGTTATGCCTTGTATCTTAGTAAGCTGGCAGTAAATTAACTTTACCATTTTAATTAAAAACCTTTGATTTTTATAAACTCAATGACCTTTTTTTGTTTTGTTTTAAGTGACACTGGTCTTGGACATACTAATGCATGATTTCCATTACACGAGAGTAGATGTTAAAACTTCATGCTGATTTGTACTCGGCTTTCGCCAAGATAAGCAAAACTAAGACGTAGCTTTACAGTAAACTATGCTTCTCCATTCATTTACGCTTCTTTCCATAAGGTAGTGTGACTCCCCTTCTGTCCGGCGTTAACGGCAGCAGTGTACTTGGCGCGTTAGCACACGCGACGGCTGCAACTACAGGACCAGCACGACAACCGTCTGGATTGAACCGAGTAGGGGACATCTCTAGGGTCTTCAAGTGGGCACCTTCCGTCCTCAGTGTTTCGTCGACTAGCCCACGACACCTCAAGAGGGCTCGACAGTGACTCTGGCGTCCCAGAGTCACCCCCCTCCGTCCCCCACTCAACTCAGCCCAGCTTACTGACCTCTACATCCCTCCTGCTGCTGAGACCTAACCACAATATCACAATCTCTCCGCGACCCATCCATACGCGCCAACCCGTTGACTAAGGCTGTCGAGCCCCACTGGTGCGTTAATATGCAGTTTCAGTGGACAACGGTTACGTATGGCATACCACCTACCGCAAAACACAATATCTACCCAACCACCCGTCATTCACGCAATATCCACAGGAACGTATACAAACAAACCAACAGACTCTTCAAGTTTTCAAGAACTCTACGAAACCGTAGCGTGGCGGCCTGTACACAGCCAGCTAGAATCTTTCCGTCTCAACCACAGCCAGTTGCTGCTCCTTTCTGCTGCTTCAGATAAGTTCTTTACTGTGCGACGCAACTCTTGGCCACTGAATCCGACGTCTCTGAGGAACCGGGTTGTAGAGTGTGCCACAAAACCTCGACAACCCACTTCCACTGGATAAAGCTGGACTCTCCATCCTCGCTGTTCTGCTTCAGTGGCCAAATGAGCATACCGCAGTTTCTTTCTCTCATATGCCTCATCTACCGCATCCTCCCATGGCACTGTTAACTCTATCAGTTGAACAATGCGTGCTGATCCAGACCACAAAACAATATCTGGTCGTAGGTTAGTGGTGGCAATCTCAGGTGGAAAAATAAGCCGTTGGTCAAGATCAGCCAGCATCTTCCAGTCCCTAGCAGCTTCCAGTTGTCCTGGGCGAGAATTGGTGTTAACACCTTTCCTTGGTGGTTGCTCGCCTGGGCGGAGGAATATTGTCTTCTGCGTGTAATGTTTTGCTAGAACAGGTGGCAACTTATTGGTCATGTTACGCTTGCCTTCTAATGCTAAAGCCAAACATCGCAGTACTTGGTCATGGCGCCAAGTAAACCGACCTTGGCTAAGAGCCACCTTACATCCTGTCAAAATGTGCCTTAATGTGGCAGGTGATGAACACAAAGGACAAGAGGGATCCTCTCCTACCCAGAGGTTTAGGTTCTGCGGTGATGGGAGAACATCATATGTTGACCTAATAAGGAAACTGATCCTACTCTCTTCCATTGACCAAAGGTCTTGCCAGCCCATCTTACGTTGTTCCACACTCTCCCATCTCATCCACTCTCCCTGCTTGGCCTGTGAAATGGCCTTTATACACCTCATCCTCTCCTCCTGCTGTCGCACCTCGTTGACTACCAGCTTCCTCCTCTGAGCTGGGCCTGCCTTGTGCCATTTAGGAGGAGCTAAACTGAGCCCAAAACCCCCTCTTCCATGCTGTACCTGTCCCACGATATCCCTAATTTGAAGGGCAGCCTTTGCCTCTACTACAGATTTCTTTGCTGACCACTTTCTACCAGTTTTTAACACAGGGGCTGCCTCCCTTACACATTTGTCGCGTGACTCTACTAAGGTCATTTCCAGTCTGACCTTGGCACACTTGAACTCCTCGGTTAAAGCAGAGACTGGCAGCTGCAATATTCCTTTACTATAAAGTCCTACTCTGCTGAGGCAGCGTGGAACTCCCAACCATTTCCTGATGTATGAACTTACCAACGCTTCCAGCTTCTCCACTGTTGTCAAAGAAACCTCGTACACGGTCAGTGGCCACAGCAACCTCGGCAGTAGACCAAACTGAAAGCACCAGAGTTTTAGTTTACCAGGTAGAGCACAGCTGTTTATGCTCTTCAACCCTTCCACTGCTTGTCGTCTAACTTCTCCCACCCGAACTGTGTCCTTTAGATCCCCATCGTACCATCTCCCAAGACTCTTCACTGGCTTCTCAGAAACTGTTGGTATTGCCTCACCATTAATGAAGAATGTTTTATCTACTACCTTTCCTTTAACTATCGAGATGCTCCTTGATTTAGAGGGCTTAAATTTCATTCGTGCCCATTCAATATTATCTGTTAACTTCCCCAATAACCGATTAGTGCAGGCTACTGTTGTAGTCATGGTTGTCATGTCATCCATGTATGCTCTGATTGGTGGTAGTCGCATCCCAGAAGCCAAGCGCTCTCCTCCTACTACCCATCTTGATGCCCTCATGATTACTTCCATCGCCATGGTAAAAGCCAGTGGAGAAATGGTGCATCCTGCCATTATTCCAACCTCTAGGCATTGCCATGCAGTGCTGAATTTTGGAGTTGAGAAACTGAATTGCAAATCTCCAAAATAGGCTTTCACTAAATTTGTTATTGACATTGGTACTCTGAAAAAATCAAATGCTGCCCAAAGAAGCTCATGTGGCACTGAACCATATGCATTAGCCAAATCCAGGAATGTCACATGGAGCTCCTTCCTCTCCTTTTTAGCTGACTGAATTCGTTGCCAGATAACATTGATGTGTTCTAAGCATCCTGAGAACCCTGGAATACCCGCTTTTTGAACTGAGGTGTCAATGAAGCCATTCTTTAACAGGTAGGTGGACAATCTCTGGGCAATAATGCTGAAGAAAATCTTACCCTCAACGTTTAATAGTGAAATAGGACGAAACTGACTGATGCTTGTAGCATCTTTTTCTTTAGGTATAAAGACTCCACCTGCTCTGCGCCATGCTCTAGGTACAACCTGTTTTTCCCATGCAAATTGGTATGAATTGCAGCATCACACTAAAGTTGTTACCACTACTATGTTGATTGGAATTCACTCAGACATACACACTTTGTCTTTTGCTTTACATGTCTCAGAAAAGGGGAAATTTAACTGTACCCAGACCAAATACTTCATATGTAACTGTGTATTCAAGTTTGTATATACTGGAATAATGCTTCATTTCTATTGCATTTCAGAGAGGTATTCAATTTAATAATTAAGGGTGTCTGCTAATACAAATAAAACTTTTCTAAAATGAAACTGAGTAAATATGCATTTCTTTTCTTTCAACAACTAAAGGTGGTGAAAAAAATAAACCTATACATAAATCCTAAGAGCAAATCGACAGACACTGGATAGTACCAATGCTGGATATTTATGCCCAATGCAGCTTGCAGTGTTTCAGAAAATTTAAAGGGGGAAAAAGCTTATTAATTCATAAAATGAAGAGTTCAGATGCAAAAGCCTCTAAATGCCATCTGAAATTTTCTTCTAAAATGATCATTTTTATCAAGCTCGTATATTTAAATTAAGTAATTTTACTTAAATGACAATTAATGGGTAATTTTTCTTGCCATTTAAGTGAAATTATTGAACTTAAATATACGAGCTTGACAAAAATGATCATTTTAGAAGAAAATTTCAGATGGCATTTAGAGGCTTTTGCATCTGAACTCTTCAAATACAATTCCTCTTGTAAATGTATAATCTAATAAAACAAAAACCAATAATATTTGCCACTCTCAGACAAGTCCAGCAACATTTATACAGTAAGGTTCTTTGAAGAGCTGGTGAGAAGGTGCGATCATCATTCAAACTCTAAAAGCACAGTCAAGTCTGTCCAACGACGCTTTGAACGTACAATTTTTTCACCGATTCACAAAAATATTTGGCAATGTACACTGAATAAAGTTGACTTGTGTCTACAGTATAATGTGAGCTACAAAAGATCAAAAATGTAAAAGTAGTTCACTACACTCTTCCATCCTGCAAGAAAACCACACAAAAAAGTTGTTTCTGAGGAACACATGCTTCACTCTGGTTTATACTTTATTCAGTATGAGCAGCCAGATGAAAACTTCCCTTTATTTCCCCCAACAGGCAAGTTGACAAGTAATGTGGGTGACAGTAATAGGGTGTTTGCATAGTTCTAACCACCCCACATCCACCAGATCTCAGCGCTGCCCGGTGTAGGCGCGAAACCAGGACGTGACGGATGCGGCCGCCGAGGAGATCATGCCCCCTGCATTGCCAACTGGCTGGGACGCCTGCATGCCGCTCTGGGAAAGATCCATAGGCTGGGAGGGGATGTCACAGAAGCGAGGGCTTGGAACAGTCTCCCAGTCTGTGCCCAAGTCTGTTTCTTCATCCGTCACTACCTCGTCTCCACTCTCCTCCACAGGTCCAGCCTCCTCTGGTTCCACAAACTCCATAGAGTCTTCCAAGTCAGCGCTCACCTCAAACGGCCCCGTTCTATGCAGTGAACAAGAGTGTGAAAAGCTGACATCCACTAATATTCATACTACTCATTTTTTTTATTCCTGTGATGGCAAAGCTGAATTTTCAGCAGCCATTCCTCCAGTCTTCAATAGCTATTTTTCCACCCAAAGTTGCGAATTTACCTTACTGCATCATAAATTTGCAAATAATGTAGCGTTTCCATCTCATGTGTTCAAGAGAAAAAAATCGTCACTTCCTGGGAAACTGGCGAAAAAATTCTGTAATAAAAATGGAAGTTGCCGCAATCGGGGAAGAAACTGTAACTCTTTTTTCCTCCATTATAAATGAGTTGCACCTTAGAGGGCACAAACGAAATGCAACAAACTCTGTCATGTTATCTCGTGTTTGGATGCCTGGTGTTTGTGAATGCAAATCATGCGAGACACTTCTGGGAGGTCATTATACCTAATCATTTTGATGACCGACTTTGGCTCAGGCGTTTCAGAATGATCAAACCAACATTTGAGATTCTGTGCTATGTGATTGGTCAGCTGGTTAGTGCAGCTATCCAATCACATCCTCTGTTTGAGGCAAAGTCACATGAGTTTTTTGTGGCGCACTGAGGGATTTATTCAGTACATGTGTATCCGTCATAGTTTATATGCATGTCTTGGCAGATAAAAAAATGTATCCACCTCAATTGAGTGCATATGTTTTTTATGCGCGTTTAAAATCAGTGTCAAATAATTAGGGTGGGACCTGATTTTATCTATTAGAATTTGATCATGAATAGTGGGCTATAACATACATGGACAATCTGAAAGTACATTGTTCTCGCTAACTAAGAAATAGGTCAATGTAATTTCTCACCTGCCAAGGTTCTTGTTTGCTGGAGACACTAGAAACATGATATTCCTCAAAGTGTGGTGAGGATGAAGCAGCTCGCTGTCAACATGCTGAGAAGAGAGCATAAACATGAGGTATGTGCAGAATATGACTTCTCAGATCAGACTCAGTGTTCTCAGTTTTTACCTGTGAGAAGCAGAGGTGCAGGATGTTGGTGTTGAGCTTGTTTACGGCACGGGTGAATCGGTAGCGAGTCAGATTATCTCCGCAGAACTCACTGCAGAGAAAACAAAACAGAATACAGGACTCATCAGACGTCTCTGAGCTGAATAACCTTAAAAATGAAACTTAAATACTGCAGATTTTTGTGTCACATTCTTGTATAAAAATTCAGATGCTATGATGTTTTTAACTGAAGGTTTGACAGTAAACATGCGGCTTTAACCTGTTGCACAACTTTTTCGGAAGGTTGACATCCAGAATATGAGACAGGATATTGACGAGCTGTGTGGCATAACAGAGGGCGGCACTGATGGTGTGTGCCGGGTTGATGTGGTCCAACTCTGAACAAAAAAATAAAGATAACACTTTACAATAAGGTTTCATTAGTTACCATCAGTTAACATGAGCTAACATAATACTTTTAAAGCATTTATCAATCTTAGCTAATGTTAATCTCAATGTTTACTAATATTTTTTTAAGATCAAAAGTTGTTTGCTAACATTCGTTAATGTACTGTGAAATACCATGAATATTACATTTTTTTATAGTAACATTAACAAAGATTAATAAACGCTGTAAAAAAATATGTTGCTAGTTCATGTCAGATAATGTTTAAAAACAAATGAGACCTTACTGTAAAGTGTTACCAAAATAATGATCTCAACACAACATGTTTAATAAATCAGACATTTTTCCTTTCATAAAATGACTTCTAAAATGTCACAAATAAGCATGCCAAAGATAGTGTGTTGACTTATGAGATTAATTAAATGTTTAGCTGTTTAGTTTTATAAATCAAATCCATACTGTACTCTTCTTAAACCTAAACTCATTTCCAGTCTTTGTATAATGAAATATAATTATCACTGAAACTCAACATGTGGTGGATTGTGGCATTATACTGTATTTGTTATACATATTCTTTTCTTTCCTATAAAGAGGAACTGAAAGCATTTAAAATGAAATGAATATACAAAGAAAATATACAAATATAGAATACAATATACAGATTGAGATCAATTGGGTTAACTAACACTGCACTGAGAAATAACATTTGGTTGGTTGGTATTTATTTAACACCACCAACCAAGTAACAAGTTGAAAAACTTTAAACGTGTGATTTAAAAACCTATATTTTAAAGTTTGCTTTGGATAAAAACTGTTTAATGCAGTATTGGGTTAGGAGGGTTAGGGTTGACTGTTAAAATGTCTTTAAAAGTGTTTGCGAAACAGAGATGTGACAGTGACGATCTGTGAATTCTGTACCTGGCCCCTGGTTTCCACTCTTCTCCTCCACCCAGCTGTAATAGGCTGAGCAGTCTCCATTACTGGGAAGTGTGACGTGTGGCCCAGTGATACTGATGCTTGTCTCTCCGTTCTGATCGTCCCAGATCCAGCGGCCTGAGTGATAGGTGGTTCGCCTCGCCTCTGCGAGTTCACTGACGGTGCTGGAGGTCAGAGCAAGGTCATACTCAGCCACGGCTGGATCCGCTGGGTCCCTGAAGGATACAAACACTTGAGATTATGACGCATTCAAAAACTGGCCTAACAAGTTTAGTTCATGATCATGTATCAATGCCAAGTGATAGTAAGCCAATTACAGTGACCCTGGAGCAACCGAGTGAAATAATGTGTCCACCTCAAAGGACACATTCATAAGCGAGAATTCAGTAGGATTATTTGAGGTTATGGTGGGTATATCTGGAGGAAAAAAAATAGGTTCAGGAAGATTTTGTTAATGTTTTTGAAAGAAGTATCTTGTGCTCACCAAGACTATTTATTTGATCAAAAATAATAAAAGTAAAAATAATTAGATTGTGAATTAATACAATTTAAAAGAACTTTTTTTCTATTTTAATACATTTCAGAGTCAGAAACTCCAGTCTTCAGTGTCACATGAGCCTTCAGAAATCATTCCAATATGCTGATATATAAAATAGATTTTTTTGCAACTATGCAAATATCTTTACTGTCACTTTTGAACAATTTAGTGCGTTCTTGCTGAATAAAAGTAATAATTTATAAAAAGTACTAATTCCTTTAAAAAAAAACGTACTGACGCCAATTTTTAAACAGTAGTGTATTATTTGCAATAAATATTAAGCCAATAAATTAATATATAGGCTACCGTTATTAGCAGCACTGAGGTAGATTCAGCTCTCGTCGTGTCAGAGAATTAATACGCTGTTAATACAGGGTCAGATGCCAAAAGCTCTGTCAGTTTTTGCTTTCACTTTCAGGGAATAATTGACTGTGGTTAGAGACTCCTTCACTGGCATAAATCTCATGCAAAGTTTACAAATTGCATGAGAAAATTCTCATTTCCCATGATAATAAAACGAAGAAAGTAAATAAATAAATAAATGAGTAAATAAGTAAATTATTGCACCCCCTAAACTCCTCCATCAACCCCCACAAGTTGTGTATCGGCGATCTCACAGGCTGACGATAGGACGATATGACTATGGAGCATATCGCTAACACTACTCCTACTAGTTTACTTGTTTTGGCCAAAATCTACAGTAGTATTGACCATTCCAGACTGCATTGCAACAAGCTCAGCTAAAATATTCATCCACATGCTTCTGCATATATTTTGATGTTGATTAGAGTATATTTCTGCTCGGCTCTGACCTGCTGCCCTGCTTCTCCTCCTGGATGTTGAAGATGTGAGTGGTGAGCTCCAGGATGTGCTCTCTCCGCACCTCAGCCAGGGCACCCAGCCTCCCCTGCAGCTCTTTGGATCTCTTCTCCAGGAGCTCGCCCAGACGTTGGTTGTGCCGCTTAATTTTGTCCCTCTTTTCCTGATGTCGGCTGGCCCTGCGCTGCAGCCGCTGCCCTTCCTCCTGGGAACGCAACAACAGCTCCCTGCCTAAAGTCAAGAAAAAGAAACAGTAATGACATCAAACAACAGACTGATATTTTATTATTCAGCCTTTTTCTACTTAAAGGACAAGAGAGAACTTACATACAGTTGTGGTCAGAATTACTGGCACCCCTGGTAAATATGATCAAAGATGGCTGTAAAAATAAATCTGCTCTGTTTATCCTTTTGATCTTTCATTCCAAAAATTTGCAAAAATCTAACCTTTCATTGAAGTAAAATAATTAAAAGTGTGTGGGGGGGGGGATCACATTATCAAATAAATGTTTTTCTCCAAAACACGTTGGACACAATTACTGGCAACCCTAGAATTTTTTACGAGTAAAATATCTCTGAAGTATATTCCCATTAATATTTACATTTTTTAGCACACCAGGGTGACTAGGAACATGAAATTGTCCAGCCATGACTTCCTTTTCAACAGGAATATACAGTAAATGTGAGGAAACACAAAGCCCAAATTCCCTTAATCATCCATCACAATGTGTAAAACCAAAGAATATAGTTGTGATGTGCAGCAAAAGATTGTCGAGCTTCACAAAATAGAAAGTGGCCGTAAGAAAATAGCTAAAGCATTGCAAATCCCCATTTCCACCATCAGGGCAATATTTAAGAAGTTCCAATCAACTAAAGATGTTACGAATCTGCCAGGAAGAGGACGTGTGTCATTATCGTCCTAATACACGGCGAGGAGGAGAGTTTGAGTGGCCAAAGACTCTCCAAGGATCACAGATGGAGAATTGCAGACATTAGTTGAGTATTGGGGTCAGAAAGCCTAAAAAGAAAAAGAAAAGCCTACATCATCTCAAACTGTTTGGAGGGTTTCAAGAAAAATCCTCCTCGCTCATCCAAAAACAAACTCCAGCATATTTAGTTGTCAGACACGACTGGAACTTCAAAAGGGACCTGGTTTTATGGTCAGATGAAACAAAAAAAGAGCTTTTTGCCAGCAAACACACCAGATGAGTGTGGGGCAAACAGGGATAAAAAGTACCCGATGCCCACGGTTAAATATACTGCTGGATCTTTAATGTTGTGGGCTTATTTATTTGCTGGAGGTCCTGGACATCTTGTTCAGATACATGGTCTCATAGATTCTAGCAAATACCAACAGATAAAAAAAATCAACCTGACGGCCTCTGCAAGAAATCTTATAATGGGCCGTGGTTAGATCTTCCATCAGGACAATGATCCAAAACAAACATCAAAATCAACACAAAAATTTGTCAAAATGAAGCTTCTGCAATGGCCTTCCCAGTCCCCTGAACTGAAACCTTTAGAAAACGAGTCGGGTGAACTGAAGAGAAGCACCAACATGGATCTGGGAATCTGAAGAATCTAAGGAGATTCTGTATAGAGGAATGGTCTCTGATCTCTTGTTCTCCAAACTCATCAGGCATTATAGGAGAAGACTCAGAGCTGTCATCTTGACAAAAGGAGGTTGAAAAAAGTATTGAATAAAAGGGTGCCAATAATTATGGCCAGCGTGTTTTGTAGAAAAACATTTATTTCATAATGTGATTTCCCCCTCACTTTCATTTCTTTTACTTTAATGAAAATTTCTATTTTTGCGAATTTTTAGATTAAAAAAATCAAAAGGATAAACAATTCAGATTTATTTTACAACCATATTTGATCATATTAACCAGGGGTGCCAAAAATTCTGACCACAACTGTATGAGTACCACAGCTCAATGTGATTTATGCATGTTTACACACTTTTGTCATCATTTTTATTGTGATACACACCACTCTTGACTTCTTCATTGCTAGTGCAGATGGCCTCTTTAAGTTGTTGGATCTTCATCCTGCATGACATGATTTTCCACTTCTGTGTTAAACAAAACACACAGGCATGATGCTGAGAAATATCTTAAAAACAGGTTTATATCTTTTATCATCTTTTAACTTAAAATTTGAGCACTTAAAACATGAACAAAAATACTTACAAGCTGGTCTGCCTCGACTTTCTTGTCCATGGCTTTGATGACACTGAAACAAAAGGAAAATTCAGACTTTTTTCAGAGTATTATCAGTGCACAATGTTGGATTGTGCACCACATGATGCTGATATCATACCTCTGTTGAAGATTCTCCTTTTCATTTTTCAGCTTCTGGAGTCTTTCAAGTTTTTCTGAATACCTTTTCATGCCGAAATAGAAAAAAAAAAAAAAATACATTGAGAATAGTGAGAATATTCCACAACAAGTAAGTGAATTCTATCTATCTATCTATCTATCTATACACACACACACACAAACGCTTAAGTTAATAAGGATACTGTCACATTTGGTAACATGACTCAGCTGAACCTTGGTCAACACATTTGACATGTCAAATATTGCCAAAAAGTTCCTTTACAAAACTTAAATAAGCCATGACAACACTTTTAATTATGGATTTAAAACATATTTCAATAGCCACGCCACTGACATCTGACAAGAAATGAAAGAGAGCTGAAACGTGTACCTCTTTGTTTGTCAGACCGTTTGTTTACATTATTAGCAGTTAGCATGTTACTGTTAGCATGATTGGGCCATGATTGAATTAGCTAAATACTATTACAGGTGTCTTCATAGAACTCATATAAACCCCGACAACACTTTTAAATCAAGGGGAAACGTGAGCTTAAATAAAATAAAAAGATGCGAAAGGGATAATACTGAGAAATGCTAGCATGCTAAACTGTATTAGCATACATCGTAAATAATTAAGAGGAACAAAATACATAAATTAAAACACACCTCTCCGGATTTCTTCCGTCAAAATATACGAAATCCCCGTTCTGAATGCACCGGGCGCAGGTCAGTCTGCGTCTGGCGGTGTTGCAGAGCGGACATCTCTCCACGGCAACAAACAGCCCCTCTGCATCATCCAGCGCCTCGACCATGACCGCGGCAGCAGCGCCAGCGCACGCCGGCTGAAGGCGCTGCACAGGCGGATGGGGTCGTGCGGGCGCCCGGGCCTCTGATCCAGACTCTGGATGCTCTTCACAAGGCCCCGAAGACCGGGGTTCGCCTGATAAGGTACAAGCCATGATGATATAGGCACTATGAAGAATAAAAGCCTATTAGAAACGTTCACTCTGAGATTTACATGATTTGTGGTTGAAAATATTAAAATAAAACTCTGGTCCTAAGGTCTCTCTATAATCAGCTGTGTGAGATGGCTGTCTGCCCTACGTACCATGTGACGTATATTTGTGTATGTGCTGTCACGTGTGTGCTGGCTGTGTGGTTCCTTAGAAACATTTACCATGATAATAACCATACTTTAATCTAATTTATTTTCTTGAGCACCAAAGCAGCATATTAGAATGATTTCTCAAGGCTCATGTGACACTGAAGACTGGAGTAATGGTGCTGAAAATCCAGCTTTGTCATCACAGGAACACCTTTTTTTTTGTTTTTTATATATTCAAATAGAAAAGAGTTATTTAAATTTGTAATAATATTTCACAATATTACTCTTTTTTAAGTATTTTGATCAAATAAAAGCAGCCTTGGTGAGCATTAGAAACTCTTTCAAAAAACACTAATAATCACACACATGAATAGTATCCAAAAGAGAAGTGTTCAAATTTATTTACCTGCATCAGTAAGAAGTAGTTCAACATGTACAAGAGGGACAAAACATAGTCATAACTGAAGAGGATACTTTGTGTCTCCATTCGAGAGTCCACATAGGGCAAAGCTGAATATTTTAACAAAACATTTACTCTTTACAGTACACTTTTAGGATGCTCTGTTATCTCAGCAACTCTCACTAATGCAGACATTACAAAGTAAACAAAGACAATAAACAAAGTGCAATAACAAAAGTTAGATTCAATTATTGCATTCAAACCTTTAAAGTACCACTAACACATACGAAGCACACCATTAAAGACAAATATTCACATTAAGTGCAGTGCTTCTACTGCTTCCTGAACCCTTTCAGGATGGGGTAAATATTTTCAAAGGCTTCATAGATCTCTGCCCGCTCTTTCGCACCTGAAATCGTAATAACATAGATTTACAAAACTATTACAATGCATGGCTGCCGAATATGTTTTTAAGAATGCACTAAGTTAGATTATGCTAGAGAATTACCTGTGAGCACAACTTTCCCAGATACAAATATCAGCAGCACAATACGTGGCTTCACCATGCGATATATCAAACCAGGAAACAACTCCGGCTCATAGCTGTAGGGGTAAAATGGTTGACTGGTTAAAGACTGATGTTACGATGTAGTCAAGTCATATAATATTGTGGGCCAGTAACCATCAAACTCATTTATGATAGACAGATGCCAGTCCAGACCTGCTGAACTGCTGGTGAGTGAGGACCAGGCCTTCTAAGCGTATAGGAAAGCAGACATCACAACTTCCAACCATGTTTTGGATTTTGAAGTCAAGGAATTTGGCAGGGAAACCGAGTTTCTGTACCACCCGAGCATATTTCCGTGCAGCAAGGCGAGATTGCTCCTCACTGCTTGGAAAGATAAACAAAGGAAAAGGGAAATATAGGGTAAAAGACACATGTAAGGCCATTTCTGAGCTAAGTTTGTCTGTTTTACAGCCGTACTACCCTAACACATCATAGTTAGGAGTTTTGAATATATATATTATATATACCTCTTGGCTCCAGTGCAGACCATTTTTCCAGAGCTGAAAATGAGAGCGGTAGTTCTTGGTTCACGGATCCTCATTATAACTGCAGCAAAACGCTATAAGAAAAATTTGTGAGTTATGATAGTGAAAATACCTGGAACAGAAATTGTTCACCCAAACATGAAGATTATGTATATTATATACTGTATATATATTTATATATATTACCAATCTTTATAACAAGTCAACAGAGTAAACAATGACAGAATTTACAGGAACTGAAAGCTACATAATGTTTGTCTTTGATTTAATACAGTTCTATCTATACAGTGTTGTACAAATAAGCTTCAGTAGGAAAGTACCTTTGGGTTGTATTCAGCATTTCGAGCTTGAAGTGCAATGGATTTGAGGTCCAGAGGACAAGCAAGATTCACTGTTGACACAATATTCCTGTGTATAATCAAAAACTGGTTTGGAAATATAGACTGGCATTGGTCAACAGATGCATTTCTCACTAAAATCTAGCATCCAGTGGCGGGTGGTTTAAAAGTAATCACTCTTTACATGTGCAAAGGTAACTAACTTACTACAGACATTTGTTTTGGTGAAATTATGGAGTCAATATTTTACAGCCTTTTCTGCAACGCTTGAAAAAGCTCTAGGCCTATATGATGGCATACGTAAGATGTTAAAAAGAATCTTGGATACACACTCTTCATATTTTCCCTATATAATGGCTTACTGTAATTGTGGGATGATGCCTGAACTCTCTGTCACTGGGGTCATGGGGGTCATAGGAGTCATGGGAGTCATTGGGAGACTGAACTGTGAGGTGTTTTTGGCAAAATTACTGGTGTCAGTATCTGCCTCTGTCGACTCTCTCGGTGGACCGTCGGTGTAAACGCCACTGTCCTCATTCCTGCTGTCATTCTCAGCCTGTCGTGGCTCATCTTGAGTGCTCAGTTCATCGGGTAAGAAGCTCAGGTCCAAGTCCTCAGTGAGATCTTTCTCCTGAGAGGTTAAAGAGGACAGGAAAGAGGAATCCTGGAGCTGAGGAGCAGGACCCTGTAGGCCCAGATCCCCCTCAAAGATGTAATCAGATGAACCCTTAGAAGAACAACAACAAAAAAAAGTTAATGGCGTCTATTTAATCAATTAAGTTTAACAGACCATTTATTGTTAGGGAGGACCAACATTCCAAATAAAAAAATGACGTCAATTACATTTATTAAAATATCATCTAAATGTATGACTAGCAAAGCAATATATAATTTGTCTGTTTATTCATTTCTGTAACATATCACATGTATTTATTACTGTATTTCTTTCATATGTTTCATTATACATTTTCTTATTTATAATTGCTTCATTTATGTAATAGGACGATGTGCATCACGCTAATATTGATTATGTTTTCAGCTAACAAATTATACTCACCTAACGCAAGCATTTCAGCATTTCATTTAACAACTTACAAGAGTATGGTCAAAGTAATTTTCGAGGGATGCCTCCTCATCCATGTTCCTTACGGATTTCCATAAAGTAAAGTTTCCCAGTGTTTCTGTAGCTGTGGATGTGATCTAATTGGCATCAAGTGTGGAGCTACTCACAGAGGCGTGACAAATCATGCCATCAAAACTCAGGAGTTAGTTCTTTTATAGTAAGCTCAAATAAAATATTTTTGTAACAAAACAACAAACTTACATTTTTTGGGGGCTTTTTGCGCTAACAGAAAATAACAACTTGAAAATACAAATATTTTGTAAGCAACGCAGTCTCCGGACAGTAGAGGGAGACAGACACAACGCTGTAAACAGTCACTTACGCGCATGAGCGGAAGACAACTGTTAAACGTGAGGTGTGCTTGAGCTGTCACAAATCATTTCAAACTATTAATGGTTAAATCTGATGAATAGTTTTTCGTGTATAGATACTTTGGCATGCATGGATAGAAAGTATATTATGTGTATATTAAGCTGACGGAGGCATATGAAAAACCAACAGTATTGGTTCCATAGAAACATGTGGATAGGGTTATGGATGCAGTTAAAGAATGCTTGAGGGATTTTCCTAAAGAAGCTCGGGGTGAGTTCATTGGCTGTCTATTGACATCTGAACATATTTAATAAATAATATAACCAACCACATATAACCATAATCAAATGCCGATAGATAGACAGATAATTTACATGCAATAGAAAATCTACACAGTGTCCATTTAAAGAATATATACACATATTTGTTGCACCAAAATATATCTTTTAACACAGGGTTTATCAATCTTTTAGATGCCACAGACCCCCAACATATGATGATTCGCATGTGAAGGACCCCCATCCAAAAATGTAAAAGATAGCTATTTATATTTTTATGTATATAGATAGACCCAATTATACTATGAAAATGTTATATTATAATTGTGTAAACAATTGAGTTTCTATTAGCCTTCATTACATCATTATGTTTTTTACTCTCTGTAAGTTGCAGATGGGTTAAGATGTATTGTATTCATGTACTGTACTTTTTATTAAAAATAAAAAATACACTTTAATCAAATGTATAAATGTATTATTTATTTAAGTCATATTTAATTTATTTTACTCAACTTATTTATTTACTAAGTTTAATCTTATTTATTTATTTTAAAAATACTACTTTTCCACAGACCCCCTAGCACTCAATATATAAATTTCAGGATAATTGGGATTAATTGTTATGAAAAAAATGTTACAATAAGTAATACTTTTCCGTTGAAAGCCTTGTAATGACTTGTATATCAGTGATATGGTGTATTTTCTTCCTTAGAGCTTTATCTTAATGATGCAGTGCCATACCTCGATGGGCCCCTCTCTTCACTTCAGTTTTATCGTGACTGGATTGGACCCAATAAGCCTTGCATCATTCGCAACGCCTTCAGTGATTGGCCAGCTTTGTCTAAATGGAACCCCACTTATCTCAGGTGAGCCAATCAGATGATCAGATCAGCCAGAGACTTTTAACGTGTAAATCCTATGCCCTGAAAATGTTTCTATGCAACTCTTTTCATATTTGTGCAGAGAGAAAGTGGGCTCCAAAGTCATCAGTGTGGCCGTCACTCCAAACGGATACGCAGATGCCATAAACGGGAATCGCTTTGTGATGCCAGAGGAACGTCAGATGACCTTCACCTCTCTGCTGGATATCGTAGAGGGGAAGGTGACGAGCAGTGGTGTGTTTTATGTTCAGAAGCAATGCTCAAATCTGACTGAGGAGTTACCGGAGCTGACGGGAGACGTAAAGAATCACATTCCCTGGATGAGTGAAGCACTTGGTATGTCCACACATTTTACATTCTGTTTCTACCTGGAGAATGGTTGGTTGGTTGGAGAATGGCAAAATAATGTGTAATGTAGATTCTGAAATTGTTATTGTTTTTTTGTTTTGTTTTTCAGGAAAAAAGCCCGATGCTGTAAATTTCTGGCTTGGGGAGGAAAGCGCTGTCACATCAAGTAAGTTTGTCTTCATTTGTTTATAAACATAAAATATTGTAAACTTAAAACCAGTGGTTCTCAACCAGGAGGCCTCAGCAACATTCTAAAGGGGCCTCAAGATGAAATAATTTAAATTGTTTAAAATAAGACAAACAAGCATTAAAATTTGCCAAAAAACTAATCTTATTTTAATTTACCCCCTCGACAACTTTTTTTTTTCCTTTAAAGAACCAAGATTTCCACCTGTTTTTAAAATTAGACGAGTAATTTTAGCCTAATTTTAAAAGTGTGTTTTCTAGACCTAGAAAAGTTATGTAAATTAATAAGATCTTAAAATGCCATAGGCATTTTAATAATAAGCATTAAAATATTATATATCGTGTATAAATTGTGAGTAAAAAACATTTTTAAACATTATTATTTTTAATCCTTATCCAGCAAATAACAAATGACCAGAAAAGTCATGCAACTCCTTGTTTAAAAAGAGAAGGAACCTTAAAAATTCTGGAATTTTTAAAAAATAAATCTAGGAGAGCCTTTGAATATTGTTGTGCACAGTAACCTTGGAGTCAAAAAGGTTTACTGCTTATTTATGTACCCATTTTTGTGAGTGAACACAGTTTTGTTGTATCTGTAGTGCATAAAGATCATTATGAGAATCTATACTGCGTGATCTCTGGACAGAAAGAATTTATTTTACTTCCTCCGACTGATAGACCTTTCATACCATATGGTAAGGAGTTGTTTCTCTATCCTAATCTTTTATTTTGCTTGCTTAGCTTAACATTAAATGCTTTAGGAAATAGCCTCATGGCTCTGTCTATTGGCATTGTTTTATTTCCTCCTCATAGAGCTCTACCAGTCAGCGACGTACAGACAGAAAGAAGATGGCATCTTTGAAATAGTGGATGAGGAAGATTTAAGCAAAGTGTTAAAGTTTATTAAAATTAAACTATTAAAATTTAATTTTATATTTTTCTATTAACTTTATAATTATGAATGTTATAAATACATTTGATAACATTTCTAAAAATGTATATTTTTTTCAATATATTTCCATGTCTCGTTCAGGTTCCCTGGATCCCTCTAGACCCCCTCAACCCAGATTATGAGCGATATCCCTCCTACAGGCTGGCTAAACCTCTGCACTGCACTGTGAAAGCTGGAGAGATGTTGTACCTGCCCTCCCTGTGGTTCCACCATGTGCGACAGTCTCACGGCTGCATAGCGGGTTAGTGATGTGACCTCCAACAAGATTGCTAACAATAATTAACTTGCTAACTTGCAGGGATGCACCGAAATGAAAATTCTGGTCCGAAACTGAAAATTCAAGATGCATTTGGCCGAAAACCGAAAATAAGGAATAAATGAATAATCAATTAATTAAACAAACTTATTCAATAATCAACACTCAAATAGCTAAAACATTAAAACAGTTAAACATGAGACAGTTTTATATCAACTTTTTAATAACATAAGTGTTTCTACTCCAGTTTGTACAATCTGTTTTATTGACATGATCTTCCGCTGATTGAAAGACTGATTGAGCAATTAGTTGAGACAGGGTTCATTTCAGTAAGTTGTACTGTATCTTTCAACATTCCTTCTGATGTTCATTCATGTTTATTTGGTACCTTAACTAGTAGTAAAAAGGAAAAGATGATCTTGACACTGGGTACAGGCATATCAGGGTCTATCCCAACTGGAAGCACTGGATGACAAGAGAAGTCCAGACTTCACCACATTATATCCACCAGCTCACAGTAGCCACACCTTCATTGTGGAGGAGCAAGAGGTCAGGCGCCCACTGAGGGCTGTGAATCAGAGGAAGGCTGCAGCACCCGATGGCATCACTGTACGGGTTCTGAAGGACTGTGCGGATCAGCTGGCGGGGGTCTTTGCTAAGATCTTCAACCAGTCTTTATCCCAGTCCACCATTCTACCCTGTCCGAAGTCCTAATTTTTAGTCCCACAGCCTACCGTTAGCAGCCTAAATGATTATTGCTCAGTTGCATTTGAGAAACTAGTCCAGAGTCATATCATTTCCTGCCTTCCACCCATATTCGACACACACACACACACACACACACACACACACACACACACACACACACACACACACACACACACACACACGTTTGTATATAGAGCAAATAGATCTAAGAGGATGCCATAGCCACAGCTATTCACAATGCTCTGATCCACTCTGGAGCAGCAGGAGAGAGCTATGTTAGGCTTTAGCTCCGCATTTAATACCATCCTACCCCACAGACTGGTGACCAAGTTGGCAGACTTGGGACTATCCCACTCCATCTGCCTCTGGATAAAGGACTTCTTGTCAGATTGCTTCCAGTGGGTCAGAGTAGGCCCCTATATCTCCTCAGCCCTCAGACTGGCTCCCCTCAGGGATGTGTGCTGAGCACCCTACTCTACACCCTCTATATTCACGACTGCATCCCAGCAGACTCCAGCAATAGAATCATCATGTTTGCACGCCGTTATGCATCTCGAAGGGGGATGAGTCTGCATATCGGGACAAGGTGGAGCGGCTGTCTGTGTGGTGTATAGACAATAACTTGGTCCTCAAAACCACCAAGACGAAAAAAGCGAATCATTGACTACAGGAAGAATAAAACAGCCATTCACCCCTTACTCATCAGCGTGGACTGTGTGGAGAGGGTTTCAGACTTGCGGTTTCTGGGAGTCCACATTGAGGAAGATCTGATCTGGAATGCTAATACCACAGCACTTTAAAGTGCTTCCCTAACAAGAAGGGAGGCCACCAAGCTACTCTAGGGAGCACTCTAATCCAAGGAATGAGAAAAACAAAAGTAAAATTCTTTAACCTTGTGCCCAGTAATGTTATTTCCGAGACTCCTGACCCCAAGGAAGCTCAGGCCCTACTTAAAGACCCCAATCCCAATGAAGGAAAGCAGCACATGCCGTCTAGTTTTAAAAAAGGTACTCTACTCAAACCCTGATATAACTAGCGATACATCGTAAATAGAGCCCCATCCGAAGGGGAGCAATATCCCAACTTCAAAGCCCAGCAATGAACTGGGGAAGGAGGTAGACAAGTACTGGGAGTATCATAAGTATCCATTATAATCTCGTCCACCTTGCTCTATCCCTATTGGGTAATTTAACAGCTTTTGTCAAAGGGAGCCTGCAAAGAATTGAAACCTTAGTAACCTTATCACCTTCACTGGAATTCAGGCTGGAACCGTGCTGGTAGAATGCAACTCAGGATTTGTCACATGTCTGTTGCCTGGCTACCAGCTTCTCTGTAGCTTGCTAAACGTGCTATTTTAGCAACGTAAACACAAATTTAATAATAACATTTTAATAAATATCTGTCCATCCTCCAAAACATGGTCGCTATTTATCTTATATCATCTGTAAACTCTTGCGTTACCATGACAATGGCTGACACATTTGTATTCCATTTCAAAGAGCTCCATTATTAGCCCACAGTGGAAAATGAAACCATATCCGCATTGGGCTGGGCCAAATCGGCACGGAATTGAATGGTTAAGCAAAGAGAACGGTTGGGCCCAACAGTGGAAAAGCAGCTATGGTTTTCCATTACCCTGCTCTACCCAAGTGGATATTCAGGCAACTTGTCTTTACAAAGGACAAGCAAGGCTATAGAACTGCTGCTATTTGAGGGGAAAGCCTAAATCCCTACTCTTATGTCAAAGGGAGGGAGATGAAAGCAGGGCAGAACACAGGGTGTCCAGTAACTCTCATCGTCCAGGCCTTGACCCTACAGGAGCTGCAGGAGAGCTTAGGCCCTACTTAAATATGTTATTGGTGGAGAGCAGCTCATATTCTGCCTATAGCCACATTAATGTACTTAAGATCCACAATATCTAGTGATTAGACTCACATAGAGCATCTGTCCAAAAGAGAACAATACCCCTACTTCAAGACCCAGAATTTTTTAGATGGGAAGGAAGATAAACGACACAGGAATTTATAAGATCCCTATGTCCCATTCATCTTGCTCTTCCTAACCGGGATGCCCATTCAGTACGTTAGCCGTAGAGAGGGATGAAAACCGGGTATTGAGTAGGCCCAAAAACACTATCACCTTGGCTCCTACCCAAGGATGACTCCGGGGAGCTTGAATCCTACTTAAAAACTCCCAAAAAGTTAGAGGGGAGGACAGCTCATCCCTACTTTAATTAATCGCCATCATTCAAGGATAGCAACACACTCTCTCTAGAGAAGTGATAAAGAGGCGGAAACGATCCTCTGATCCCAACCTTCTTGCTCCATCCTATAGAAACTTAGAGCAGTCTTTAAAGGGAGCCTGCAAAATGCTGTCTCTGTAGACCAGCATTACAGTCTACCACCTTCAAAGAGTCATGTTAAAGCAGGGACCAACTCACTATTGTCCCATGCTCTCATTACCTAGGTTGAAACCATAGGATCGGGTAGGAAAAAGCTATACCTATGCATCCTTGTCAAGGGGAGCTAACCCCACAATATTTTTTTAGGGAATGGTGAGAGAGACTGATGAACATAGGGCTCTAGTCTTCAACCCCTTAAAACAACCTTTAAGGCACATGTACCCCATTAGAACCCTATTATAAAGGGGTATAGTGTAGGGGTGTAATTGAGCGGGATAGGTACCACTCAATTCATGCTTTGAATGTGAATAAATAATCCTTTAACATTACAGTAGCATTCTGTTAGCAGGGAAGCATCCTCCGAGAGGCTGCGCTCAACCCAATAAACAGCTGTCCCAGAGACTGAGCAGCAGATTTAGCCCAGGTGACAACAGGGAGTTATTGTCCATTTATGTAATTTGCCCTTCTACCAGGCCAAAGACCCCAGACATGCCACTAATTGGCCAAAAGAATGTTTGCATCAAACAATACCTTTAGATGGTAGGATTGATGCCATATCCCATTTCACTGCTCAGTCTCTATTAGTGACAGGTGTTACACGTACTGGCAGGAGACTAACAATCTTCGGGTAACAAAAACCCCCAACTAAAAGGTGAGGGCCATAAGGATTTCCACAACTACTCACCATACTGAGCCTGTACATAATCAAGGCAAATTAAATCTAACTGCGATCAATACATTGATCAGTTAGCTTCAGTAGTGCTAACTCCAAGGACTGTCTATGGACCTATCCTATTGTGGGTCGGTTTTTACTAGAAATGCACACTTCATCATTAGTTAATGACTGAGCCTGGTGTCGGTGCTCCAAGGGTCTCACGCACCCCAAATAAATCCTCCTTAGATGAATTGTGGGTAGGGAGGACAACATTGAATTAGTGATCAACTGTTCTCTCAGAGCGCTTCCTAGTAATAAACTCACTTAGGTCCTGCCTCCTCTTTTTAGCTGCGAGGCGCTTCTGCCCCTACTATTCAAAGGTGGGGGGCACGAGCAGCCACACTAGTCTTCTGCTCCTGTCTCCAAGAACCTCCCGGAAATGGGTCAGTAGGCTTAAAAGAGGCAGAGGGTCTGGACTCAACCTTACAGGGGATACATCTCCTTGAAATCTCCTTTAATCTCTCCCACCACCGTCTCGACAGAGGTGCCAAAGAGACCAGAAGACGAGGTTGGGGCATCCAGGAGGAAATACTTGTATTTCTCCTTAATCCCCAAGAAATTTAACCATTGGTGTCTCTCCATCACCACCATGGCCACCATAGAACGGCCAATGGCCGCAACAGTCTGCTTGATGGCCCAGAGAGCCTGGTCTTTGATATGGCACATTTCCGCTACTGCCTTAGGAGACACACCATGTCCCTGGTCCAAGTCCTTAAGCAGGTCGGCCAGGTATGCTTCCAACACCACCATGGTGTGCAGAGCACCACCAGCCTGGCATACGCCTTGCCTCCGAGCCATGAGGGGGTTTGCCACGGCTTCAAAGGCAAAGCTGGAGCCTTGAATGAATATGCCTCATCCTCAGAGATAACCCACTAGTGGGTCCTCCACAGGGGGCATCTTCACATACCCGTGCTCACCCAATCCCTCCACATTTTAAGAACTCAAATGTTGGAAGGGAAAAACGCAAGCCGGGTATGGTTTCTTCCATGACTTCACATCAGTGTGAAGATCAGGGAGAAGTGGTAGGTTCACAGGGAAAGACATATGCGCTAAATGACTACGAGCAACTTCCCGTTTCTCATGCGACCAGGCGAAACTCATCCTGTGCATTGCACGGGCCAATACATCCAGCAATTCCCCGTATGTGGGGCTGGTGGGAGGACTGGACTCAATAGAGACACCATTGCACGGTCCTCCAACCACATCCAGTAATTCAGAACCGGATGATGCCAGAAAAATGCTTTATGGCTGATCAAAAGAATCAACAGAATGCACTAAATCAAGCAGATTGCTTGAACTCTCCTGAGGAGATCAGGAAATAGTCAATGCTTCCCCGATTCCTCGGCCAGCTCAACATGCGACTCTTATGAGTGTAGCCGCTGCACTGCCTCAGCATCTGCAGGGTTGACTAGACAATCACAATCAGAGTTTCCTTATCGCAAACTTGTCACAGTGAACACATCTGGCTCATCACAGAAAAAGTGATTTTAAAGTAATTTTAAACCATTCAAGTGCAAGAAGACTCGTTTTTTTGTGCTGCACACCAATACAAAACATGCACACAGAAAGCCGCCTCTCATACTGAATAATGAACAATACTAAACTGAGTTCTCTTCCTTGTCTTTTTGCACTTGAATGGACAAATACACAGAAATGTCAAAATATTCTCTAAACACAGTTGGTTGTGTCTTTAGTTAACTTAAACAGTTGACAAAGAAAACGCATAACAGTATATTGGATCCGTGCAGCTCCTAAAGTGACAGCAGCCTAATGTTCCTGCTGCTGTCTCTATAAAAACGTTAATCAAACAACAAAAGACAAAAAGAAAATTCACTTGCTATTCTTGACTGAATATCTTTTGTAACTATATTTGTAATGTTTATTTTATTTACAAAGTGCAGTGTTATTTAACATTTGATTATAGTTTTTATACCTGAAAATCTTAAAACAATCTATCAATCGTATCTTTGTTTATTTGTGTGATTGCTTTTAATTAGTTTATTTTATTCTTTTTTAATTACTGAGTGTTTACTTGTCTAATAATGCTTGATATTTAAATTAGTTAGGCTAGTTGTTTTTGCTATGGTATTTTTACAACATAGGCTAAAGTTCCTTGTGTATGTTTTTAGCCTGTTGATTTTTGTTCATTGTATTCAGCTACAATGAAATGTTTTGCAATAAGACTTAGAATAAATGTGAATTATATACTTTTTTTTTTACCTTATTGGAATCGAAATTAGAATCGATAAGAATCGGAATCGTTAAAATTCAAACGATGCCCAACCCTAGTCCACAGGTGTAAGGAAACGTCTACACAGAGGAACACACTGCCGAAAACTCTTGTTTCCGCCCGCCTGATGCCGTGTCGAAGTTCCACTTTGAAAGGGAACTGCACAGACTAAAAGATTTTAGATTTAAGAAACCATATCATTTAAATTGAGAAATTAGTATTGTCAATCCAGAGCTAGTGTCCACACATCTGAAATGTTTAATTGTTGTAGCTTATCCACGTTGTGTGTATAAAATAGATGCATGTATACAGTCGACACATGCCATCGGAGAAGCACTGATTAAATGTCTTTTTCGGTCACTGATTTTGGCCCTCCAAAAGCCAAAATTTTGGTGCATACCTACCTGCATATTCTGTTCTGTGCTTTTATGGTCAATAATGTAAATAATCATGATTAATTATGATGTTTAACATGTTCTTTTTGTCTTGGCAGTGAATTTCTGGTATGACATGGAATTTGATATCAAGTACAATTACTTCCAGCTGGTGGAGTCCCTGACAAACGCTGTGGGATCACTATGAGACTGTTATCACATAATATATCCTGTTCAAAGGTGAAGATTTGGTTAATATATTTGATTATCAACAACTGGTGGCTTTACATGTGAAGATTCAATGACTTTTTTTAGTGATATGGAATAAATATTACAATAAACAATGCAGTTTACCATGTAATAAATACAGTTTTATTTGTTTGACTTCTCTGAGAAAGAGATTTCAGATGATAGGCTGTATAAACACTGAGAATAGAAACACTTGACTTCGGTTTGGAGCAAAAGGTAAGACAAAGTCACAAGTTTCTTAGAAACTATGGGTCCATCTGTAATCCTAAACTACGTCTTGATCAATTGGCCATACATTACATGAAAGTAGAGCTAGTCACCACAAAGATAGCGCTGAAAGCTGATGGTTTGCATGATTATTCATGAGGAGCAGGTCAAGCGTACAACCATGCATTCTAGTTCAGGGAGCAAGCCAACCCTAAATTCTGCCGTTCTTCATGCATATGTAGTGCATTCATGCTGATTCTCTCACATAGTGCTTTTGTTACCGATGCAGTCCTACTGTACTGTTTTCACTTCTGCTACATCACTGAAGCCCTCTAGCTAGCTAAATCAAGTCTGTTTGGGCTTACGTTATTTATCATTTTTATCTCATGCATTTTTAGTCTCTTTAAAAGCCATAGCACTTTTTATGAGATAACAAATGAGAGCATTTGTTGCATACCAAATGAGTCTTAATAAATCTATTTTACTACAAGACTGCCAGTGCAATCTGCCATTGTTGAAATAGGGTGTATATCAGGGTTTTTTGGGCTACAATGAGTACAAATTTGCATTGTTGTAATTGCACATTTTGCCTCTTTCATTGTTAATAAGTTTGTACCCACAATCCTCAAAATAATGTGACAGAGGTGGAACTAAGCAACAAGTCAATAAATAGAATTTATGCATCTCAGACACCTGGAAAGTTGTAGCTGGACTGAACTAGTAGCAGTGTTGACTTAAGCTGGGTGTACACTGTGCAAATATTTATTTTTTTGTCAGACTGTACAATATGACCCCAGTTAAATCCTGGATAAAAGGCAATGGTGACTGTAACATCACCTGTATCTTATGTCATGCTGTATGATATGCGTCTTTGGTCACGACTAATGGCATTGGCTGGGTGTTTACATTATTAATCGTGTCACATTCTGACATTTCATTCACAAAGAGCATGTCATGCTAATTTATCATATATTCAATTTTATGCTCTTTGACAAAAATAATTAAGAACCCCAAATCGTACAGTGTGCACCTAGCTTCGGTGCGATTTGTATCAGTAGAAAAGCTGGACACAATAAAATATGTGCAGGTCCATCTATAGAAGTTACAGTACATTTAACACTACAATGCCTTCATTTGAATTAATGGCTTGTTTCCACCGAGCGGTACGGTACGCAATTATTTCCGTTTCGATTGTCAGAAGTTGTGAATAGTACAAAAATACCGAACCTTAGTACAGTAGTCCGATACCTAAAGGTTGGAGCTAGACTCCCTGCAGCAGCATACACCACGCCCATCAAGTAAGGGTACTGATGGCTGTGGAAACTCAAGCCAGATCATGGTTTACCATCCCGAATCATACTGTACTGTACCGTACCACTCTGTGGAAAAGAGACATAAGCTTAATAACAAAAAAGTGCCCTAATGTACATTACCAATATTATGGAAAAGAAGAATTGTTTCTAGCAGAGGTCAGAGAGGCAACACCTCAACCTAGTTAGCAAAGGATTGTGGATTACAGAGTGACTGTTTTGTTTATCTCTTGGGGAAATGAGAGCACATTACATGACAATAAAAAATACCTTGAAGAAGTCATCACCAGAAAGCAATATGTAAAAATGCATTTCATTTCAGGACAAGGATATTTTCAAAATCCTTCTCATATTTTGTGCACAAAAGTTCAAGAAGCTTTTTCTATCTACTTGGCTATTGCATCTCCATCAGTGTCACCAGAATGGTCAATGGTCAAGTGCTTTTATGGCAGTTTTGTTTCTGTTAACATTTGCAATTAGGGGTGGACAACATACAAATATCACTGATCATTTTGATATATAACCTGCTTGAATTACAAATGCCGGATTTATTCCTTTAAACAAATTGCTGGTCAAGATTAAGGCACCCGTATCCATGAGAAAGTTACCCTTCAAGTACAAAAAAGTCCTGCAAATAATACAAAATCATCCTTCAAATTTACCCAAATTTTTCCTCTGGCACCCAACTGACCCTGCTGGGTATCAGGACATTGACACTGTACAACAAACACACATTGAAGAGTCTCTGTGCGACTCATTGACCTATCACATGAGAATAAATACGATGTCCCATTGTCCCAATTCAACTTTAGAGTATCAGCACAAACACAAAATACAGTATAAAAATCATTCCATAATAAAAGGTAAAAGGGTGACAAATCTCCATTGCTAAGACTTCCAGGGATACCGGTCCCTGCATTGAGAATTGTTTTTAAAATATCAAATACAATGTTCAAATACATAATGCTTGCCAGAGATTCATCTGACCAACAACAGTTCATTTTCTCTAACTGTATCCATATACAACTGCTAATTTGTCTTTAAGACTGTGTCCAAATTACTGTACCATGCAGTCAACAAACCATGTAATCAATTACTCTCCTTGATGACATGTAGGTCTTTCAAAAGTTACCATGGCTAAAATATCCGGATACGTTTTTAGTAGCAGGGCACAAAGAGGTGAGAGAAATCAGGGGTGTGTTGCTGCCATAGTAGCATGCTAAATAGGGAGGTAGGATAGTGGCATTTCTTCTCAATCTCTTTATTAAAAGCTCCTGACTATCTAAAACAGTCTGCTGTGCAGTCTTCATGGCTTGGTATCCTGTTGAAGCCACAGCACACAGAGTAGTCAGATTTTGTTGTCCATCCTCTTCTCTACAGCACTGAGCAGCAATTTGGAGTACTGCTCTAGAAGCGCTAGTGTCCTGTCGTCACCCAATGTTGCATTACTGTTAGCCAGCATGGGCACTGTGCAAGTGCTAGGCGATCTCGAAGGAGTGCATGGTGGCAGGCAATTCAGCTCATCTCTCATTGCCTGAAATGCTTCGGCCAGCACACGTGTCATTTCCTGCTGCTCCTCACTGGAGTTGGTGGAGTTGCTTAGCTACAGGAGCGCACACATATGCAAAGTTAGAGTCAAGTCAGCCGCACAAAACAGTTTAGGCAGACGTGTGGGCTGAAGTGCAGCCTCCTCTACAATTACATGTGAATGTGACCTAATGATAACCTACCATTTTGTAGAGGTAGGAGGCTCTTTTAAAACTGCTCTGCAATTCATTGGCAACCAGCCGGCAAGAATCCACACTGAGAGATGTGTCTGCAAAAGAGAAACCGAACTCTGTTAGTCATAGTGAGTCTTAAAATGAGCTTTGCAACAAAACCATGCAATTTTGACTGAGCATACAAAAGAGTGAAACTGAGAAGTATAAAGCATTGATAATGGATTTAGAGAAGCGGTACTCACTCAGCACTAAGTGATTTACAGAAGTATGACATGGATTAACATCATTTGATTTTCATGGAACAACAACCCTAAAGGCTGATTTATACTTCCGCGTCGGACCTACGCCGGAGCCTCTACGCTATAGACTACGCGTTGGTTTTCATTTATACTTCTGCGTCGTTGTCCGCGTTGACGCGCAATTACACATGCAGAGGGAGCATGTGAAACCCGGGGAGCGGTTCTAGCAGACCAATCACAGCGCTTGCGGTACGCGTAGAATTGACGCGTTGTTACATTTTTGGAGAGGTGCACGTCAGGGTACGATCGCTACACACAGCCTACGACGTAGCTACGGCGTGAGTTTGACGCAGAAGTATAAATTGGTCTTAACCCTAACTAAAACTGGAGGGAAACGATTGATCTTAAGACAATTGTTTCAGGACGTTATCCTAAAGATCAGAGGTTAATGATTGGTTGGGAGGAATGTTGTTCCAGGTCCAATCTTGCTCTAAGAGGGTCACTTTCTTGCAGAGTTTAACTCCAATTCCAACCTTAATTTCAAAGACCTTTAACGGGTTCTGGTATGTTTAACTAGGGTTGTAGCTAAACACTAAAGCAGGGGTAGGCAAGTTCGGTCCTAGCGAGCCGCTGTCCTGCAGAATTTAGTTCCAACCCTAATCAAACACACCTGAACAAGCTAATCAATGTCTCTCTAGGCTCTCTAGGACCGAACTTGCCTACCCCTGCACTAAAGGAAGGTAGACCTCCAGGAGTAGGATTAGACACCCTTGACCTAACTCAGGGATGTCTAATCCTGGTCCTGAAGGGCCACTTTCCTGAAGAATTTAGGTCTAGCGGCTAGCCCTAATTAAATCCACCTGAAACAGCTTATCAAAGTCTTCAAGATCACTAGAATCCTCCAGGCAGGTTTAATAGAGCTAAACTCTGCAGAAAAGTACCCTAAAATTAGGGCAATATTTCGTTGTAGTAATGTTATTCCAACAAAGCTTATTGCATGCATGCATGTTAAGTGTGGCATGTACATATATTTTACACTATGAATTACAGTTGATGCTTTGAGGATCATCCATGTCTTTGGTTTAATGAAGAATGTTTTAGCAAGTAAAATAACCCCCGGTTTCACAGACAATGCTTAAGCCTAGTCCTAGACTAAAATTAATGTTTGAGCTGTTTTAACTGAAAACAACTTGAACTGACATATCTTAAAATGCACATCAGTAATGTTTTTTTTTCCAAAGCATGTTTATAAAAGCTACTTAAAAGTCCTAACTGAACCAAGGCCTAATCCTGGCTTAATCCAAGCCCCGTCTGTGAAACCGGGCCTAAATGTGTGAACTTGGCCCATAAACTGGTTGAGTACCACTGGTTTAGAGGGCGGATGTTACAGCAAGTGTTAGTAAGGGCATGCCTCACCCTGCAGGTGGTACTGATTAATGGATGGAGAGGGTGAAGAGGAGATGAAAGAAGTGATGGAGGAGGTGGAGGATGAGCGAGGCCAAAGCCCTTTTGTAAACAAGTGTTTAGACAGCCCAAGTCGTAGCAGAATGGAAGATGGAATGAGGGAAGACTGATGTCCCAGCAAACCTGAGTCTTGAGCTCCTGAGGAAGACTGTAGAAGACTTGTGCTGCACTGACTCATGGGAGAGCACTCAGCCTCAGGGATATCCTCTTCTTTTGGCTCTGTGTGCGAGTGAAGTTCAGCCTCCGTTAAGTTCGTGGTCTGGCTGGGAATAAGTACCATACTGAGCTCAATCTGGTCTGGGGTTTCAGATGGGCTCAAACCAACAGCTGTGACCGGCTGTACGATGCTGTTGGGCAAGTGAACTGCTTCAGGAAGTGAAGGAGGAGTTGTTGGGGTTCTACTCAAGGAATCCTTTTCCTTTTGTTCAAGATTGGGGCTCTTGCTGCTCGGTGAGAGGGAAGATAATGAGAGTTTATCTGGAAGAGGATTGGGAATGTCTATATGGAGCAGGGGTCGAGCACTGCCGGTCAGTTTGACCTGGAGACCTTTAGAGGAAGAGTTTCCAGTTGGGCCAGCGCTCAGTGTGGGTATGACTGCTGCATGGGGCGTGTAGGGGCCTGGAAAAGGGGATGCCAAAGTATTAAAGGAAGACACATGGGTAACAGGAGTGGTGGGCTTGCTCTGGGAGGAGCTCCGAGGGTTTGAAAAGTCTGAACCTGAGCTCCTGCGTGGATCTGAAGATCCTGTGTCTTCTCCTAGTTCCACCACATTCAAGTTGTCACCCATTGAAACAGAGCGGGAAATCTTGGCCATAGAGCTAGTGGTAGGACTCATATAGGAACGGGATTTGGACTTTGTAGGCGTAGTGATGTCCCTGGGCAGGGTAGTGGTGGGGCTGGTTAGTGGGACGGTGGGAAGGGAACGCCGTGGTCTTTCAGAGGTCTGGGGCTGTGGGTGGACTTCCTTAGAAGGACGACTGGATATCTGGACAATGTCAGCTGATCAGAAGAGGGAGGGAACAGTTGATTAATGTGAGAAAAGAAAAATCTCCAAGTTATTTTTCATTTAGCAGACACTTCTACTGAAAAATTTATTTCAGATCATTTTTACTACAAAGAAATTGCCCCTGAAGCAACTTAAGGCTGGAAAACACTACACAACTTTAACAGATTTTAAAACACTAGTCAACATACACATGCTGACTTTTTAAATAGTAACAGAAAAACTGAGCATCATACACTAAACCACTGAGGATTATACAATACCCGGCTAGAAGACGCATGACAAATGAAAACAATATGTGATCTAAAATCGACTCAAAATAATGCCCATCTTACACTTTGAGATTTTCTGCAAAATCTGTCAACTGGGCAAAATCTGCAGAAGTGTTGACTCCACCAGACTGCAAATAAGGGCAAAAATCAGTCTTGCAGTGTTTTCCAGCTTTTAGGGTTACGCACCTTTCTCAAGGGCACAATGGTAGTATGAATATTAGTACTAATTTTTTTGTGCTATCTAATAATCTGCTCAAAAATACTTGAAAACTTATTTCGGAAATAATTATTAAGACGTGTGCACTTATAAGTTGTAAGAAAAATATTACTTAAGATAATTTTTTAGTTAATGGCTACACCATCAAGTAAACTAAAACTTTTCTTGAAACCAACCTAAATACAAAAAAATGTATTTCTAAGACCTGGACATTTTCAAACTAGATTTTTCCTTCCTTTTAAAATATATTTATTTTTCTTTTTTTGTGCATACTCTTATGCCACTAACCCATGAATCACCCAACTAGGTTATCTTTAACCACTTTTTTTAGTAAGCATTATACAAAGCAACTTTCAGTACATCTATATAGGGACAGACTCCCTGGGGCAACTAATATAAAACAAAATCCTGTATTCTGTAGCACAAGTTCATGGATGCTTTACCCTCTGAGGAGATGTTGTGGATAGACTGAGCTTTCCTCATGCCCGCAGAACTGTTGTAACTTGCGGCAGCTTTAGCAACGGGGCTGATCAGTCTGCGGGAGTCCACGACAGGTGTGCGTTTCTTTTGGATTAAACGCTGACCTGTTGTCTTCTCAGAGCCCTGGGGTTCCTGCTGTTTGCCTGGACTCTTATTCTCCATGAGGGGCCGTACCTCTGAGATAAGGGGCCGCACCACTCCACTGGTGGTTTTACTGTCAGTGCTTTTGTTTGTGGGGAATGAGAATGCAGTTCTAGTAAAAGAAAAAGGAATAAGTCATGTTTTTCTTCTCAGAAGTCCAAATGTCATTTGCAACAGAAGTCAAAGTTGGAAGGGATTTGTTCACAGGGTGACTGTCTTACCTGTTAGTGGAGTTCTGAGAAAGGAACTTCGATGACATGCTGTCAGAGTTATTTGGAGTTACTCTGGTTGGACTTGCTGCCAATAAAAAAATAAAAAAGCATGAGAACTCATACTTACAATAAAGACAATTTTGTTAAGAAAATTGTGAACCTGACTAACACCCTACCAGGTTTGTTGAGGTCCGACAGGTTTGCAAAATGCTTCTTTAGAAAGGCCTCCTGGTCTGGGGTCTGTGGTACAGGAGTCTGAACCTCATTCTTCCTCAAGCTATCCTCCTCTTCCTCATCAAGATCTTCCATATCCAGTTCTGATGAGTTTCCATCTACACTCAGTGGCTCAGTCGGCTCAGAGTCTACAGTGAACACATAGAGATACACAATCCTTTATCTCATCAAGGACCCATTGCATCTATTGCTTTAACAAAATGACTGTCTTCTAGTTTAGTTTTCTCTACCTTCTCCAGGGTGCTCGGGGCTAGAAAGACGACTGCTGGAATAATCCATAGAGCAGGCACTGTCTGGACTCTGCTTCTCAGGACAAGAGTTCACTTTAGCACATCTCACTCCATGGGGCAACTTTTTCACCTGATACTCACTATATACAAACAAAGAGAAGGGAGTGGACAGACATTTGAGGATCATCTCAGCAGGGTGTTTTAGATCATCTGCACAATACAAGGAATAATCCAGCCAAACATGGACATTCCAACATCAGTTATTCACCCTCATGTTGTTTGAAAAATGCATGACTTTCTTTCTTCTGTGGTACATAAAAAAAGGATCTTTTGAGAAATGTCTCCAACGGGCTCCAATGTTTTTGTTCCAAGCATTCTTAAAAATATCATCTTTTGTATTCCACAGGAGAAAGAAAAGTCATGTTTGGGACTACATGGGGTGAGTAAATGACAGAATTTTCATTTTTGTGTGGATTAAACACTGACTCACAAAAATAAGTTGGTGAGAATTTTTTTTTTTTTTTACTGACCTGCCTGCAAGACTGATTTGATCTTCACATCCCTCAGGATACAGGACCTCTGTCTCTGGAGTTCGAGGAGACAGCTGGATGTAACGAGGACGTGTTTTATCTCCTGGTCCATTCTCTTCAGGTACCTACAGAGAATATACAAGTCAAAATGGTACAGAACAGACAAACAGGTCTGCATTGAGAAGCACACAAATAAACATTTTATGGCATTGATTTAAGAGCTGTTTTGATTCTCATTTAACTCATGTCTTCTGTGTTGTCTCTACAACCTGTCGCAGAGACTACAGCATTATTCTAATGAGATTCTACTTTGGTGAATGCTGTTTTTAAAAATAAATTAGTCAATTTGATAAATTTCATGCAAAAAGTAAACTGTTTTTGGTCAGTTCAAACTGCAAAGTGGAGCAGATTTATGCCCAAGTCTGGCTCTGTGAGACTATATTGGACATTATATCACATTATATACAAAGATACAAGTGTATATACGTATGTTTTGCTTATTTTCATATAAAACTATAACTATTCTTTGAAGGATTCTGTATCTCACCCATGCAGCTATGGTCTGAAGACTGATGGTGCTGCCCAGTTCCTGGTTCCTAGGCGGTGGGTGATCTTTATGAACATCATGGGTTTTGCTGGGGAAGAGAGGCAAGGCAAAAGACTCTAGCTGCCTCAGGTCCAGCATGGACTTCACCTTCAGATCCATACTGCCCATTCGCCTGGACCAGCGCCGCCTTGGCCGTGGACCTGAACCCTCAAGTTCACAACTGCTGGATTGCTGAGAAGAGAGAAGAGGTGTGTTAAAGAGCAGCATGTGAAACAAATAAACCAAATGAGAGAATTAAAGTTAAAATGATGTGAAATTGTCATAAGCCCTATTTGGTTGGTAATTGTTTCTCATGGGGATGTAAGGTATTTTCAACATTTACAGGGGCTAGTTGGTGATTTTATTGCTGTCTAGATCCAGAATGTCTGTGTTTTTCTCCTACCACCCACGTTAAAATCCCCGGCCGAATTACCTACTGTTTTTTGACAAACACCAAGGTCATGTGGTAATTTAATTGCCGTCCGAATCCACATATCTGAGTTTACAAGAAGAGATCACTTTGAAATTCACAGTTTAAATCCTTTTTGACCACTGCGGAGCACCATACAATAACTGTTGCGCTTAACTGTAATTTTTATGCATTTTAAAGACGTACACTTAAATTAATAAAATGCTGGAAAGTATTTACAAGAACAATATTTCATCACCGCTCCACCTCAGCGAGTGGGAGCTGTTAAGAACAAAAAGGAGACAGAGAAAGCAAAGCACATAAACATTTGAAATGGGCTGTTATTGTGGCAGCAATATACTGTATGATTATATATCATTTTTAAATATGTATTATATACAATAATAATATGCATTACAACCAAGCAGCTTTATGTTTACCTCATGTAAATAAGAGGCTGCATTAACTTATTTCCTCTAATTTCCATATTTTTAAAATGACATCCATCAATTTGAGATTTCATATAGCATGTCTAGCTTTCTATTTTTAAACGGGGCATTTAAATGATAAAATAATAAATAGGACATTATTTTCCTATTATTAAATTAAATATGCATTTATTCTTTTTATTCCAAGCACATGACATTTTATTTACAGCAGACAATCATGCGACTGACCACTTGAGCAGCTCGTTCTCAAGTTCATAGGATCACAAAACTCGCCCCTTCACCGTGAATAAATCGCCATCCGAATACACGAGTTTAACCACTGAAGTGCCATGCAAAAGTATTTTTACAGACTTCAACATGAGAAACAATTACCATCCGAATAGGGATTTAGACTTTCTTACCTTCTTCATGTGGGAATTGAGAGTATTGCGGCTTTCTTCGGATGATCCTTGTAACAGAAACAAACACTAATATTAGAAGCCTGCAGAGCTTAAAATAAACATTTGGAAGAAGTCTCGCCCAATAAAATCACACAACGTGATCCTACCCAACCCAAAAGAGCCGGATGTACAATATAGAACTAGCCAAACCAGTTTATTAAGACTGCTGGAGAATGTCAGATGCGTTACCTGTCTCTTCGCCAGATGACAGGCGAGGAAACATCTCATCTTCATCCTCAATGCCCTCCTCTTCCTCTACGTCTTTGTCACTGTCAGATGACATGGTGCCAATGACTGGGGCGCTGTGGATTTCTTTCCTTGTGCTGATACATACACACCCACAAAAAAACACATTATAAAAACTCAAAACGGTGATGTGTAATTGCAAAAAAAACTAATGAGTGTGATTTGTTTTATACCTAAGTGTGTGTTGTTTATTTGGTGGGGTCTTCTGAACAGGTCTGCTGTTCTGTTTCAGGTCTGAGAGCCGTTGTCTCATTTTGATGGTCAACTCAGGACAGAGCCGCCACACAAAGATGCAGCTGAACACACATTTAACATTGTAATATGATATGTCAAATATGAAGTCAAAAATGGATTCTGAGAAACATGATTTCAGAACGCCTACCTGTCTCCTGACACAGATATCAGATGCTTACAGTCATTAGTAAACTTCATTCCTGTTACAATCTCTAAAAGAGGACAACAACGAAATGCTTAGACTTGATTTCAGTTCAAAACGTAAGTTCAAAACGTTTAAGGATCTTACCAGAGTGGCCAAACATGGTGGCCACACATTCTCCAGTGTAGAAGTCAAAGATGCAGATGTTTTTGTCTGAGCAGCTTGTGGCCACATAGAGACCAGAGGGATCCGTCTGAACCTAATAAACACATTCAGATGGATGAATAACTGTATGACTGAGAGCAAAAGCATTATCTGAACTAATATTAAGCCTAACCTCTTAATTCAGGGTCTGCCTACCTTGATAAGGGTTCCGTCCTCCCCCTGGGATCCCTTGTAGACCTTCTTCTGTTTGCCATTGCAGATGTTAAAGATCCTGCAAATAAACGAAAACCAGAAACTTTCATGACTGTGACACTCGCCTAGGGTTAGAGAGTGTGTAAAATGAAAAGGTATATTACATCAAGTAAAGTTACATAACCGTTCAAAAGTTTGGGGTCAGTGGGATTTTTATTTTGGAAATTAATACTTTTTTGAGGGCTCTTTGCCTTTAAGAAAGCATTCAAAAGTGACAGTAAAAACATACACTCACCTAAAGGATTATTAAGAACACTATACTAATACTGTGTTTGACCCCCTTTTGCCTTCAGAACTGCCTTAATTCTACGTGGCATTAATTCAACAAGGTGCTGAAAGCATTCTTTAGAAATGTTGGCCCATTGATAGGATAGCATCTTGCAGTTGATGGAGATTTGTGGGATGCACATCCAGGGCACGAAGCTCCCGTTCCACCACATCCCAAAGATGCTCTATTGGGTTGAGATCTGGTGACTGTGAGGGCCATTTTAGTACAGTGAACTCATTGTCATATTCAAGAAACCAATTTGAAATCATTCGAGCTTTGTGACATGGTGCATTATCCTGCTGGAAGTAGCCATCAGAGGATGGGTACATGGTGGCCATAAAGGGATGGACATGGTCAGAAACAATGCTCAGGTAGGCCGTGGCATTTAAACGATGCCCAATTGGCACGAAGGGGCCTAAAGTGTGCCAAGAAAACATCCCCCACACCATTACACCACCACCACCAGCCTGCACAGTGGTAACAAGGCATGATGGATCCATGTTCTCATTCTGTTTACGCCAAATTCTGACTCTACCATCTGAATGTCTCAACAGAAATCGAGACTCATCAGACCAGGCAACATTTTTCCAGTCTTCAACTGTTCAATTTTGGTGAGCTCTTGCAAATTGTAGCCTCTTTTTCCTATTTGTAGTGGAGATGAGTGGTACCCGGTGGGGTCTTCTGCTGTTGTAGCCCATCCGCCTCAAGGTTGTGCGTGTTGTGGCTCCACAAATGCTTTGCTGCATACCTCGGTTGTAACGAGTGGTTATTTCAGTCAAAGTTGCTCTTCTATCAGCTTGAATCAGTCGGCCCATTCTCCTCTGACCTCTAGCATCAAGAAGGCATTTTCGCCCACAGGACTGCCGCATACTGGACGTTTTTCCCTTTTCACACCATTCTTTGTAAACCCTAGAAATGGTTGTGCGTGAAAATCCCAGTAACTGAGCAGATTGTGAAATACTCAGACCGGCCCGTCTGGCACCAACAAACATGCCACGCTCAAAATTGCTTAAATCACCTTTCTTTCCCATTCTGACATTCAGTTTGGAGTTCAGGAGATTGTCTTGACCAGGACCACACCCCTAAATGCATTGAAGCAACTGCCATGTGATTGGTTGATTAGATAATTGCATTAATGAGAAATTGAACAGGTGTTCCTAATAATCCTTTAGGTGAGCGTATAAAACAAAAGATTTATATCTCAAATAAATGCTGTTCTTTTAAACCTTCTATTCATCAAATAATCTTGAAGAAAAAATATATCATGGTTTCCCCATCATATGAAGCAGCACAGCGGTTTTCAACATTGGCAATAATAATAAAATGTTTCTTGTGCAGCAAATCAGCATATTGGAATGATTTCTGAAGGATCATGTGACGCTAAAGACTGGAGTAATGATGCTGAAAATTCAGCTTTGATCACAGGAATAAATTACATTATAAAATAAATTAACAGATTTATTTTATTTTATTGTAATTATATTTATTAATTACTGTTTTAAATGTATTTTTGATCAAATAAATGCAGACCCCAAACTTTTGAACAGTAGTGTAAATAATGATTGGTTTAGTTGGGAAAGCATTGGGAGAGAAAAAAAACATCTAAAAGTATATAATTTGGCCATTTAAATCTGGAACTTCCTTTTTTGACCTGGCAAAAGTTCTGCAGAATTGTATTTTGCCGCATTCTATTTCAACCACCTGGAGGCGCTATGCCATCATGCCTCCACCTGTCATTGCTTACAGCAGATCATACAAGGCACTGGCAGCTTTGGGAGGAGCAGAACCAATGAACCACTCAGGCTTCACATGACTTACACGAGGAACAAAAAGAGTCTGTGCCCATTAGAGGCATTGAAAACCCAGAATGAGCTCCAGTACACAGGCATACAGCACTGGCTATTGAATCTATTGATATATTTTCTTATAGGTCTGGCCTTCTTCATTCATTGCCACTGCACCAAACTGCATAGAAAAGACGCTGCTTCCAGTGAGAATGAGACAAAGGTACTAAATGGTCAGCTGTATTATACACGACATTCCTGACATTTTTCTTGCCCACAGTGCAGAATGAATTTGCGACCGTCGTTTAAAAGAACAAAGGAAAACAGTTGCAAGTCATGCGCTGTGCTGGTTCCTTCCTAATGTTGCCCTTTTGTGTGGGACAGCAAAGTGAGACTTACAAAACACAATGAGGAAAAGAGTGCCAATGCTGGAGAATAAAGTGCAAAACTTGAAAATGATCAAGTCAGCAGTAGGGCATATCTCACAAAACTGGCAAGAGCATGTCCGGGTTATTTCAACAACAACAACAACAACGAAAAAACATACTGTATAAACTGTATGTGTGTGTATATGACAATTTAAGAAAATTTTAATTTAAGAAAATAGTTTTATATTACAATACAATAGTATTACAACTTAGAAAACTATTTTTTTAAATGTAAAGTTTTCTTAAGTTGTAATACTATTGTATTGTAATAATATAAAACTATTTTCTTAATTGTAAATTTTTCTTCTTTAAAGGGATACTCCACTTTTTTTGGAAATAAGCTCATTTTACAACTCCCCCAGAGTTAAACTGTTGAGTTTTACCGTTTTTGAATCCATTCAGCCGATCTCCGGTTCCGGCGGTACCACTTTTAGCATAGCTTAGCAGACATCATTGAAGTGGACAAGATCATTAGCATTTCTCAAAAAAAAAATGACCAAAGAGTTTCGATATTTTCGACCTATTTTCAGGCGCTGCGTCATATCATTGCGCCTGCTGCTCTCATGGTACGGCAGTGAAGTTTCTTGATTATTATGCAGGAATGAGAGTATAGTTCCTAGCCATATCAGCCTAGAAAATCGCAACTTTACATTTTCCGTCGGTCTTAGTGCACGATGTAACTACAGAAGAGTCAAGTTTTAAATAGAAAAAATATCGAAACTCTTTGGTCATTTTTTTTTTTAGAAATGCTAATGGTCTTGTCCACTTCAATGATGTATGCTAAGCTATGCTAAAAGTGGTACCGCCAAAACCGGAGATCGGCTGAATGGATTTAAAAACGGTAAAACTCAACAGTTTAACTCTGGGGGAGTTGTAAAATGAGCCTATTTCCAAAAAAAGTGGAGTATCCCTTTAAATATATTTTAAAATGTAATTTACAGACGATGACAGATTTGTTTGTATCCTTCCATGAGAAAAAGAACCCACAATTTCCTAATTGGAATCGTTTATTCCCAATATAATAATACAATTGCTTTACTAATATTTTGTTGCACCGCCTTTAGAGGCAATCACTGCAAACAAGTGATTTCTGTAGTTCCCAATGAGACTTCTGCATCTGTCAACAGGTATTTGGCCCTCTCTGCATGAGCAAACTGCTCCAGCTGTGTCAGGTTTGATGGGTGCCAGACTGCAAGTTTCAACTCTTTCCATAGATGTTCCGATGGGATTCAGATCAGGGTTCATAGAAGGCCACTTCAGAACATACCAGTGTTTTGTTCTCAGCCATTCTTGGGTGTTTTTAACTCTATGTTTTGGGTCATTATCCTTGTAGAGTCCTGGAGACCCAGGAGTCCTGCTGGGTCTTCTTCCATGGAGCCCACTGTTGCTCAAAAAGAGTCGGATGGTACGATCACACACTGATGAACCCAGACCTTGGAGTTCAGCTTGTATTTCTTTAGAAGTTTTCCTTGGCTCTTTGTCTACCATTCACACTCTCCTTCTGTTCAATCAGAGGCCAGTTTTCCTCTTGCGGCCGGATTCAGGAAGGTTGGCTACAGTCCCATGGACTTTACAGTTCCAAATCTTATTAAGTAATGTAGTCACAGGAACATCAAGCTGCTTGAGAGATGGTCTTATACCCTTCACCTTAACATGCTTGTCAGTGATTTTCTTTCTGATCTCCTCGCACAACTCTCCCTCCTTTGCTTTCTCTGGTCCATGTTCATTACGGTGCACACAATCAGAGTGACTAAACTTTTCTCCATTTAAATAGGCTGAATGACTGATTATGTGATTATGAAGATGTGTGATACTAATTAAGCAAAACAATTAGCTTGAATCATCACTATAATACTATTATTTGTATTTCTTTTCTAGGGGTACCAACAAATAAATCTGTCCAGACCATTTTAGAATATCTCTGTAGAATAAACATTAATTCATATCTTTTCACACTTTTATGCAATACTCTATGACATACCAAAGGCATGCAGATATACGTGAGACAATTTATTTTAATTTCTTCAATTTTCAGGAGGAATGAAGCATTTTTTCAATGAACTCTAAGGGTACCAACAAATGTATCCACGTCTGTATATCTGTTATGGCAAAGCATCATTACTCCAGTCTTCAGGGTCTCATGATCCTTCAGAAATCATTTGAATATGCTAATATATATATTATTAAGACAAAATAACAAAAAACAAAAGGTGTATTAATTTAATTGTACATTTATACATATGATAATATTTATGGTAAAATACTGTTTTATAGCAATACGAATTTAATGAGATCCTCACAGAAAAATGAAAACTACACTAAAATGCTTAATTATAATATGCAACAAAAAAAAAACTAATAATGATTCAATAATAAAAAAAAAAATAATTTGGCTTCATGTTTTAATATGCAAAATATCATTTTAGTTTCCACTTTAGGCTGAAATGTGACCTGGACATGTTTTTGTGACAGTCACCCAGTTAAACAATCACCGGATGAGACAATCAGATTATGTCTAATGATTTTGGCTGATCAGGTGTCTCAGACAGGCTGACTCAGTGTGTGTTTGTGTGAGTGTGTGTCTGCACGCGTATGCACATGGTAAATGGAACATGCTAAATGTGACAGGATTAACCAGTCGAGCCTCTAACTCCATCCTCCTGTGCAAACACCTGAGTGATAATCTGCTAACACTGTGAGCCTGGCTACAGATGACTGTAACGCCCCGTCCAGATATACATCACACTGTCTATACAATCATACCTTCATAAATGAGTCAAAACACTGTAAAAATACAGGAATCAAAACACATTCATGTACCGGTACAGTATACATAGATACAAAAACACATGGGTGCAGTGATACAAACACATTAGCAAAATAATTGCCTGGAATTTCTTGGAAGACAGGCTTAACTAGCAGATGCACAAAAGGATAGGATTCTACTACTACTATACAAATGATTGCCAAAAAGAAAAACAAGAAAACAAACAAACCTGATGCTGCGATCCTGACAGCCAACAACAGTATACTTCCTTGTGGGGTCGATGTCCATGTCATACAGAGTAGTCTTCCTCACTATGTGATGAGTACGCGTGAACTCTGTTCCCTCCTCTGTCTGTTTTGAGGTGTTTAATTATTAGTTCAGCATGGAAAACTGATTCAAGCGCTACATATCAAAATTCAGTTGTGTATAATGTAAAAAAACACTTTAGAATACTTTTCCGTCTACACACACAATATAAACATTCTAGTAACTATTATTAACGAACAACACATTCTGATTTACAAAATTAGAAAGGAATAACACTCAATTGAATATATGGAGTTCACTATTAGCTAATTAGTAACTAGTATTTTTTCATACCACTATTTTATTTCATCTTCTCCGCCATTTTGATGTTTATATCAGTTCTTACTTGGCAATATTTATTTAATTATGTCCACGTTTTCTAGATTAATCTCAGTAGATCTTGATTCTTATACATAATTCTTAATGTTCATTCAGAAACAGACTGCGGCTCTTCAAAGCTGTTTTCTTGGTGATCATATTAGACGTCAGAATAAAGTGCTTGTTTGTGTTTCACACTTAATCACTGGCCGTTGGTATCTCATTTGCAGGAGGGTGTTAAGTGCCAGTGTGTCTATTTTAAATCGGGTGTTCTTTGAAACATTGGCAACAGTTTCTTTAGGCCTGAGGAATCTGACAGCTCTGACTCAGGATCCTGTTTCATCCTCACTGAACTGGATGAGAACAAATCTTGAACTGAATGGAGCTGAATAACAACATTACTGTCTTCATTAGAGCTACTAATAGCTGAACTGAACTTGTTTCAGAATGAATTAACTTTATTAAAAATTTACTTTACCCAGTTATTGAACTGAATTGGATCAATGACACTAGGGCTGCACAATATATCGAAATATCATAAATGTACAAAATTGTAAGTTGACTCAGATAGCAGAGAATAGACTGGACACATGACTGTGATATGCATAATGTTAAAAAGAGTTAAGCGCAATAAGCCGTGTAAAAAAGCTCAAGGCGGTACTGGCACGCACATCTCGGACAGTGTGCGATCCCCAATTCAGTTCTCTTCCGCAGCTTATATGGCCAAATGCACACACAATTATGTTAAATTATTGCTTAAAGACATGGTATTCACGTGAATATTCGGTTATGTCTTAAGTGAACGTAAACAGTTGAGGAATAAAACATATGTGTAACAGTATTTTGGATCTGTGCATTAGCTCTTAAAGAGACAGCAGCCTAATAAACCTGCTGCTGTCTGTTTTTAATGTGAATCAAACAACTAAAGACAAAGAGAAAATCACTGCTTTTGACTGAATAACTTTTATAGATGCGTGACGCTATAAAAATAAAGGTGACCTGACTTGACTTCTGACCAATGAGGGAAATGCTACTTTTTAACATTAGAGAAGGCCAATAAAAATAGCAGAATTATGGCAAAGATTAGAATAAAAAATCGAAATATGACCAACTGGGTTTGAATCTCACCTTCTGTGCCGTGCGGAAGTAGATGCTCTTATCTGCACCACAACTGATCATTCTGACTTTCCCTTCATTAGCTGAAAAACAAGCAAAGATGTCACACATGAACACTTCCAGCATTAGGCCTAACGTTAGTTGTTAAATAAAACTCGACTAGGCTATCAAGATCTCACCAGCGAATCGGACAGCAGTGATAGAGGAAGAGTGCTCATCCAGTGTTTGCAGGAGGCCGTATTCCCGATCCGCATCCAGAACATGGATCAGTCTGTCTCTGCTGGCGGTGGCCAACAGTTTCAGCCCTAAACACACACACATAATACAGAGAGCAAAAGATATGTTCTAAAATGGAGTAATGATGCTGAATATTCAGATTTGCCATCACAAAAATAAATGACATTTTAAAATATAGTAAACTGTCATTTTAAATTGCAATAATACTTCACATTACAGTTTTTACAGTATTTTTGATCAAATAAACGCAGCCTTAGTGCGCATAAGATACTTTTTTCAAAAACATTTAGTCGTTAACATGAATATGGTGTTCATTTAGTACCATATGCCATGGCATTATCTTCTTATACCATCACCGGTATTCCCTCAGTACATTTCTGTAAGGATAAACCAGCAGAACTGAAATAGTGTTAAAAAGTTCAATATCCGGTGAGCCGTGTCGAGATCGGCTCTTGCTGCGCTCCTGGGTTTGTTCTCACACGTATCACACCACAAGCTGATTCACTAACACAGTGTGTTCATGTGTGACTTCACACGCCGAAGAAAAGAATGCAAATGCATCGTTAAGTGTGAGAACAGAACATGATATGTTTCTGCAACGCTAAGGAGAACAAAAGAGTCAAAATAAGCATTCATCTCTGTCAAGAGATTCCCTTTTTGAAAGCCCTTAATATTCTAACGGCTTCAGAGCAGAAACACAAATGATAATGTGATGTTTTCGAACCAAAAAGCTGATCAAAATGCAACTTGTGAGGATTCCAGATACCAACAGACCATTAGATAGAATATCTCATTTGCTTACCGCTGCAACTGTTTTTTTAAGTGAAATAACAGTGCTAACATTTAGTGCATTTTAACTATATAAGATTTCAAGTATCGAATAATATTTGGGACCACACAGAATCCACATAAAAGAAAGTCTGCACATGCACATTCTTCTATTTACTGTTTCTTATCACAATCGCATATATGAGATTTTTGATAAAAGTTACAATAAAAGGTTCAATCCAAGCATGTTTAGCTATTTAAATGATTTCAGCTACTAATAAAGGCATATCTCTGTTGCTTAAACTACAACATATATTGAACATGAATGAGTTTAGTACACTCTGGTCACTTTAATATATCCTTTTTATATCCATTCCGCACAATTCAGTGCAGAAAATGTCGAAATACTGTGCAGATTATGTGGAGCCATTTTTGGCTTGTTAGTGGGTGGGATCAATGGACCATTAAACTGAAAGAACCCTATCAGGAGAAGAAAGAAAGCAAGGCAGCGAGGTTGTGTACCTCTATGTGTGTTCTAGCAGATGTTCTGTTTCTCATCGAGCTGTACTCAGTGTCTGGCCTTGAGCCTGATATAAACCACCAGCTAAGGCAACACAGGACAACTTCACACTTAACAGGGCATGATAATGACTCTCTAAACCTGCTCTAAACCCCCGGCCCTCAAATAGAGCCTCAAGAGCTTTAGAGAACCTGAGAGAATTTCACTATTCTAGTTAGTGATGGTTAGAGGCAAGATTTTCAACATAACAAGAATAAGGGTGAAAAATGTCCCATGGAGTTGCATTAAAGGATGGACCAAAGCATTGGTGTTATTGTTAACTAAAACTATTGGTTATTGAAATATAGCTGAAAATAAACTAACTGAAGTAAAAAGTTGTACTCAAAGTACTAAAATTACTACAGTAACACTGAAATGTTTTTTTTTAAATAAAAAAGCAATTAAAGTTGGCGCCAATAGCCTCGTGGGCAGCGTGCAATTTCAAGTCCCGGCTCGTGGACCTTTCCCGATCTTGCCCCCCTCTTTCTCGCCAACTTCTCTTCCTGTCAACTAAATGTCCTGTCATAATAAAGGCAAAAAAGCCAAAAATAAGTAAAAATAAAATAAAAATAAAAGCAATAAAAATATAAAAGCTCAACAAAATTACAAAAATTTAAATGAAACCTGAAAATATCAAAATAAAAGCTAAATATTACAATAATAAATACTATTATAAATACATTATCACAATGGAAATACCATGGTATCCTATTTATACCATATCACTGTACCATGGACAGTTTTTTGTAAGTGCCGACAGTTTCCAAAGTATATTATCTTGCTGTTTTGAATCAACTGTTGTTTAGTCAACAATTACTGGTATGTCAGTTTCCTCTAACCTTGTCACGTCAGCATCTACTCTCTTTAACGGACACCCTGCTTTATTTCCTTTTAATTTTTCTGAAAAGGAAAATCCAGGGTAACGGAAGCTCTATCAAGAGCATCTGTGGCATGCTGTCGATTACCACAGAAAATAGTAGCATCGATAGTTGATTTTTGTTGTTCATACGAACTGAAGCATGAGGAACTATTTTCTCGGGAAAAACGACAGCATGTCACAGATGCTTAAAGACTGACAGAGTTTAAAGCTTATTTCTGTGCCACTTGCATCACCAAAGGAATATCAACCCAACAAATGACTTGCTTTTTGTTGTCACTGCGCATTTAAACTGGGACAGGAGAAAGAATATTAACATCGAAAACATGAAACTGATTACATTTCGAGCTGTGAAGTTTAAACTGTAAACGCTGCTGTTGGCATACGTGTGAAGTGGTGACTCCAAGGTTACGAAGCATCTGCTGAGCATCTGAGCTGGATCAGCACTTCCTCTTGACTGGGGCATTAAGCGGCACCTCAGTGCAGGATTTAATCAGCTACAGATCTATAAAGAAAACACCCGTTCTCAGCCTTCTCAGCACTCACCGGTCTCGGGTTTGGAGTACTCCAGACACAGGATCTCAGAGTCATGGGCCTGAACATCCAGAATTTCCTCCATGCTCTCCAAATCATGGATTCTGGAAAACAACAGTAGTTCAGTGAGGGTCTGATTGGCAAAAAAAAATTCAGAAGAAAAGTATAATGCAAATACTTTTATACTGCATTATATATAGTCTTCATAGAACCTTGGGTAACATATTTTTTTCCACACGCATTGGCACAAACACACATCGACCTTTCCATTAAAACCTCAGAGGATCAATCAACTAAAATCAATTAGTGTAGAAGTGTTAAGCAGACATGTGGAAAACAGACCTCAGTGTTCCATTGCGGTCCCCTGATGCCAGGTGCAGGCCGTCTGGGCTCACACACATGGTCCTAATGCCCGTCCGGTTCTCTGAGGTCTGAGGGTCGACCTTCTCAGAGTTACTGGAGGTGGTGCAGTCCGTGTCCAGCAGGGTGGAGGTGTTGTTGTCCATATAAATGACCTTCTGGAGGTCCTTTAGTGGCGAAAGAAATGATAATCTGTGACTTGTTCATTTCATTTATACAAGTCACTTAAAATGCATGAATATTGATTGTTATACTAGATAATAAAGTATCACAGCAAGTGGTACTGCAAATTTAGTTTCTCAGGACTAAATTAACTATTCTGTGGTGTTTTTGCAAATATTTTAACCAACTTCCACCAATGTTTGACAATGATAGATTCCAAATATGCCATTTTAATTTCGAACAGTATAAAATAGTGTTGTTTTGAAAAGTATACTTGTTTTAACTTTCTTTTATAATGAATGCTATTTGATATGATATTTTGGGTCCCACTTTAGTTTGGGGAACACTGTTCACTATTAACAACGACTTTTGCCTCAAACTCCTAATTACTGCTTATTAATAGTTAGTAAGATAGTTGTTAAGTTTAGTTATTGGGTAAGATTAATAGATGTAGAATATGGTCATGCAGAATAAGGCATTAATATGTGCTTTATAAGTACTAATAAAGCCAATATGCTAGTAATAAGCTAATGCTAATAAGCAACTAGTTAATAGTGAGAAAATTGGAACTCAAACTAAAGTGTTCCCATATTTTATCATCTAATGCAATGATATTCATACATTTGAAGTGTGGATTAAATGTCTAAATGACTTTTGAGGCTATAGTAGCTAACGTTTGCATCAGTTCACAGTAGCAACCTAAGTATGATGCTTGTCTCTCCAAAGAAAATACACTACTGGTCAAAAGTTTGGGGCTGATTTGGTGCTCAAGAGACATTTCTCATTGTAAGTATTAATATTGAAAACAGTTGTGCTGCTTAATACTTTGTGATTTTTTTTTTTTGAATGAATAGAAAGTTAGGTAACACTTAGTTTAGGGTTCAATTCTCGCTAGTTGCTTATTAGCATGTATAATACTAAGATTTTGGCTGTTTATTAGTACTTATAAAGCACATATTAATGCCTTATTCTGCAAGACCATATTCTACATCCCTTAACCACTCAATACCTAAACTTAACTATTAATAAGCAGTAATTAGAAGTTTATTGAGGAAAAAAATGATAGTTAATAGTTAGTTAATAGGGAGAATTGTACCATAATCTAAAGTGTGATCAAAAGAACAGCATTGATCTGAAATAGAAATCCTGAGTAACACTATAAATGTCTTTACTGTCACGTTTCATCAATTTAATGTGTCAGTGCTTTAAAAAAACAACAACTTTTGAATCTAACATCTAAAAGACACTCTAGGTTAGATTTATTTCAAGTCTTGAGTTTACAAAACTCACATTGCTGATGACGTTTCGGCTGAGGGTGGTGTTCTGAGCATCGGTGTTCCATAAACGGATAGTATTGTCAGAGGAACAGCTGAGGAACGATCCGGGACACAAACGCGGCTGCTCTCCATCCCTCGTCTCTGGGTACACCTGCAGGACAAAGGAGGGAGATGATATTCAACCTGACAAAACATACAGCATTACAATCACACATACTCATACGATACTGTACAAATACAGGTGTATTTACTCTAGTGTGGCATTCAAAATCAGACCGCAAGGATTTTTGCACGGGGTGTTATGACAGATCCTCTTTATGCATACAGAGATACAGTATATTCTAGAATAAGGATCACAGTACTTTGCTTAATTTAATGTGTCTTTAATATTTCTATTATATAACAAAGTAATAAGACATTTTGCGCCATATTTTGAATATAGTCACGACTGAAGCTGTCGCATTTCGTGCAACAAAACCCTTTTGCTGACATGATATTCACAATATTTCAGTTTCTTATTTACTGATTATTCAGGCCTGTACTTGTGGACATAATTCAGGAACTGTGATGAGGTCACAAAATGCCAGGCAACTAAAGAAAGACACAGCAAACCAAAAGGGAAGTCACTGTCATGAATCTTGTGATCCGATATATGAGCATACAGTCCATGACACAACCAGAAAATACAGTATATGCTGTATGTCGACAAATCCCTCAGGTTTTTAAAATATATGTAGCATGTCACAAAGAACTAAGACACATTAAAAGACCTTTCGTCTGGTACAAAAAGAGCAAATACTGCACATTTGTGACTGGATTACACGTATAAAACAGGGTACAACAGTAACAGGCTAGGCTGAAATCTACAGAGGGTGGGTTTCCATTAATACAATAACCCTCTATTAGTTCACATCAGATCACACAAAAATATTACAAAAACATGAGGCACAAATACAAAAGACCTGCCTCACATTATTTCAGCAGCCAAAATGCAATTCAGCAGCCACAATGAAAGGAAAAAAACAGACAAAAACATGTGACTTCAGTCAGAAGTCTGGATATGACTGAATTTTCTCATAACTTTAAAAGCCCTTTGATCTAATTCTTATGCTTGAAATTAGTTTTGTAGGTAAATGTAAATTGCACCTATATTAATAGTTTTTACAAAACTGAAAATTATTATTTTAATATATATTTAGTATTTGTATTTTATATATTATTTCATTTTTTAATCTTTTATTTTATATAATATTTATATATTTGATTTAATTAGTTTTTTAATATATTTTTATTTTATGTCATTTTATTAATACATTTGGTTTTATATTTTAAATTATTTTAAATAAAATTTAAATTGAATTGTATTTATTCAATTTTATTATTTTATTATATTATATTATATTATATTATATTATATTATATTATATTATATTATATTATATTATATTATATTATATTATATTATATTTTATTTTATTCACCTGATCAGCACTGACTTTCGGTCACAGCCTAGCATGAATTTATCTTATTCCTCACCTCCACGCTCCATACGCATGCCGAATGGTAGAGGGCCGAGTAAACCTTGCCCACTTTACGAAGATCACGTACATCCCACACGTAGAGACTGTGATCGTTGTAGACGCAGGACAGCCAGCGGTTCGTGGGGTCGTAGGATACGGCCACGGCGTCAGGATAGCGGACGTTTTCCTTGTAGGCGAAGAGGTGGCTGTGGAGAGATCATGATGGATTAATGGGACAGTAAAGTCAGCTGTACTGCGAGGTCACAAAAGGTCTTCTGGAAGAGTCACGAGAACATTTTCCCAGCAGAACCCGCACTTAGACCACTGCTATTTTCTGACAATTATATAAAGAGACAGACAGAATGACCGTGTGCATTCTGGGAGTAGTGTCTCTGCTAGAATGCTTGGGTCATTTTTTTTATGGTAGATTTGTTCGTGATGCATATCGGTCACAGAAAAAAAAAATCTTGTAAAATGACGCATGTAAACAAGTATTTCCATCATGATCATACACAAACCATGCCCTGCATTTACAGACAAATAAAACCAAAACCTCAGAAAAAAACTACTGAAAAGAATTGTTACTTTTCTGTAGTCTAAAAATATTACAGACTCAAAAAGACACAAGACGCATCTGAGTGTCTTCCTGAACAATATAATATATAATAGAGGTCAACTGCCATGTCTCAGCCTTGCAGAAGTGTCTTTGCATATTTATGAGTGGTGGACTAAGAGGTCTTGTGTGTTTGACAGTTTAGAGGGAAAGCAGGGAATGCTAAACAGATGTCAATGGCTAAGCTGTTTCATCTAGACTACATGAATCCACTCCGAATCTTAAAACAGACTGAGATTTCACAATGGTTTCAGGGTATTTGCATATGTATGATGCCACACACCAGACAGCAGCTCATCCAGTAGAAAAATCTCTGGAGATTTCCAAGTTAAAAAATTCATCCTACTCTTTTTGACAAAGGGATTTTTCCCTGATTCTGAGCAATCCCAAATATATATTTCATGGTTGTATCAGTGGTATTATAAGTTAAACCATTATACACTGATGAGCCAAAACATTATGAGCAGTCACAGGTGAAGTGAATATCGTTGATCATCTCCTAACAAGGCCACATATTAAGGTCTAGGTAGATTAGATGGTAAGCAAAAAAAAAAATCAGCTCTTGTAATCAACATGTTGGATGCAGGAGAAATAGGCAGGAATAAAGGTCTGTTATGGCAATGGGACGGATTGCTCCCGGTCCGCAGTGGTGAGAATTTACCAACAGTGTCCGAGGAGGGACAACCCACGACAGGGTGTTAGATGCCCAAGGCTCATCGAAGCACGAGGCCAATGAAGGTTATCCTGTCTGGTCCGAGCCAACAGAAAGTCTACTGTGGCAAAAGTCACACAAAATTTTAATGATGGTTATGGCAGGAATGTGTCACAAACGTATGGGGCTCCAGCCGCAGACCAATCAGAGTGACTATGACCCCTGTCGAAAGTGCCTACAATGAGCATGTGAGTGTCGGAACTGGACCTTGGAGCAATGGAAGAAGGTTGTCTGCTCCGATGAGTCCTGTTTTCTGTTACATCACGTGGACGGCTATGCACGTGTGTGTGCACCGATTACCTGGGGAAATGATGGTTCTGCTGGGAAACCCTGGATTCGGCCATTCATGTGGATACAAATTTGACAAGTGCCACCTATCTAAATATTGTTCCAGACCAGGTAAACCCCTTCATGACAATGGTGTTCCTTGGTGGAAGTGGCCTCTTTCAGCAGTATGATGCACCCTGCCACACATTGTTCAGGAATGGTTTGAGGAACATAATAAGGAGTTCAAGGTGCGGTCCTAGCCTCCAAAGTCACCAAATCTCAATCCAATTCGCCTTTGGCTAAGCCACACCCTAGAATGTAGATTGACCAATCACAGCGCAGCCAAGAACGAGCTCCCACAGTGGTCCGACACTTTTTCACAGCGCTCCATTGACTTTAACACAGGCGTCTCATATATTTGATCTCGGCAGGCTATTACCGTCGTAGTTTTATCAAAAATATGGTTAAACGTTGTTCCTGGGGCATTTGTAACACAGATACACGTTTCTTAGAGAGGTTGCAGGGGGGTGTGGGTTTTTTCCCTTCCCAAAACCGAAGTCAAATTCTGACAAGCGTCGTCTAGCACAAGCTGCTAATAAATACAACGTTATACTCGCGTAGTCCGTTTGCTTTGTAATAACGATTATAGAAGTGATTAGAGACCTACCCAGCTTTGCATGAACAGTGTTGCTCCTTGATATTGTTAGTCCCAGCCTCCGTCTCGATTAGTAGGATATGCGAAGGTTAGTTTTTTGACTGTGACCGGTATGCTTTTGCCTCTATTTGGATGCCTTGTTGTTCCTTGCGTTTCATCTGTATGTCGTGAATATAGCCTTCGAACGTATATTGCAGCCGCTTTTGCCTACTTCTATCGGACACTTTATTTGCTGCTTTATAAAAGTTTGATAAAATTTCAGCAGGAAGAGCTGTCACAGCATAAGCCGTGTTGATACCAGAGCCCAGATGAAGTTTGTTTGTCGGACGTAGCAACAGTAACTAAGGGGGGCGGGGCTTAGCCAAAGGCGAATTGAGCATCTGTTGGATGTGCGGAATCAAAAAGTTTGATCCACTGCGGCTCAAACTCCACCTCGCAACCTGTAGGACTTGAAGGATCTGCTGCTAATGTCTTGGTGCCAGATACCACAGGACACCTTCAGGGGTCTAAAGGAATCCATACCGCTGTGGGACGGCACTGTTTTGGCAGCACAAGGAGGACCAACAGCATATTAGGCAGGTGGTCAAAATGTTTGGGCTCATCAATGTACATGGTTCTTCAAGTATAATGCAAATACATTGATAAAATGAGACTAACTTGTAGGAATTTTAGTGTTTTTATTTGTTATTTTTTACGAAGACTCACTAATGTGGCTCATCTTACCTGGCCTCAGTAACAGTGGAGATGTCTGTGCCCAGGCTGTGAGGGTGAGGCAGCGTACAGATAAAGTGCAGGTCAGTGGGGCTGAACGCTCTCACAGTGCCATCAGCACAACCACAGTAGATCAGATCCTCAGTGACGGACAGAGACGTGGCCATACTAGTCTGAGAGAGAGAGAGAGAGAGAGAGAGAGAGAGAGAGAGAAACGGGGAAATCCAAGTGGATAACAGTGAAATCCCAGTGAAGCAAGTCATCACTTGCCCCACGACCATTCATTTTTTAAAATATGTATTATTATTAATATTACATTTTTATATTGATTGTGGGGAATAAATTAATTCTTCATTTAAAATAATAATAAAAAAAAAAACATTATTAAATTAACCAAAAACATTTGAATTTTCTTATTTTATTTAGAAAGCACAGAAGTCCAATCCTTTAAGCGCAATTCTAGTAATAAAAACAAGTGATCACACATGCAATGGGTGGAGGAAATGCAGAATTTTGTGAACAATGGGCAATTAAATTCTCGAGAAATTGGCAGAAATGATCAAATCTGAAATGATGCGACTATCCAAAGGCATTTTTGCCATGTGGGCCAAGTTGCAACCAAGAATGTTGGATGAATTTTAACATGGGGAAAAAATGAGAGCTCTGTGCATTAAATTAAGACATCTCATTAAGTTTCACTGATAATAGCATGGAAACAGGCCGCAAATAAAAGCTGATAAGATATAAAACATAACCATATGAAACAGACAGCAATAAAGAGATTGAATGCAAAAAAGTGCCCGAGAAGGTTAACAGTGGGAAGATAAGAGCTCATTTGTGTGTTTTTTCCATCAGCTGTTAGATGTTCCTGATAAGAGAAATCTAATATGGGATTGTAAGAGCCTCCTTCACAGACATATCATTTAATTTACAGAGATAAGCTACGGACAGGGGAGAGTCTATGCTAAATAAGCTTTACGTCGAGAGACCAAAGTTCATTTTTAGATAATCAAATTGTAACTCGGGTTCTTGTAGTTGATAAACTGCTAGACAGAGAGGCTTTTGTATCCTCTACCATCCTTCCTGTATCCCTTTCTTTCTGGCACTCTTCAATCTCTTTCTTGTTTCTCTGTGCATTGGGCACAAGGGTCGCCACAAAAGCAGAATTGTGCAGCGCCCACCTGCTCTCACCATGACCCACTTTGACAGTCCGAGAGGAGTCAAATCGAGATCTCATATCAGCTCTAAATCATGTGTTCACATTCATAACACGATTGCCTAGTTCTCATGGTTTTCTGAAGGTCTTCTGAAATACCAATTTGCCTCCTCTACAATAGATACAATAGACCTTTTTTTCAATAGACATTACTACTTGTTTCATTTTAAGGTATAGTAATAGAAGCAGTAAATTAAAACAATGAAATAAATGAAATATCATGTTGGTTTATTAATATAAATATTATTCAATACGCGTTTAAAATACAGTTAAATAATTAATACTAATAATTTATAATTCATTAAAATAATTACTATAAATACATAATTATAAACTTAATAATGAAAAAAAAACAATATATATATATATATATATATATATATATATATATATAAAATACAGTAGAGGCCAAAAGTAATGTCCGGCCTAGGAAAAATAACATCTTCACCATATATTCAAAAATTATTATGTTAAATATTTTGAAAGCATATTGCTTGTTTAGTTGCGCTTGGAGTACATTTTTTTATTTTTTATTTGTGATAATGCAATGAAACATGTCAAATTGTGCGGACATAATTTCTTTGTATGACAGCCTTGCCAAAAATGATGAACATGCAAAAACTAGAGCGAACCAACAAAATATTAACATATTATGTTGTAGTCAATGTCTGCTTTTTCCTGTGAACTTTTTGTTTTTCTATATGCATTTTTTTGCATAGTAAAAAATGTAGCTGTGAATAATTTTGTCAGATAAATACTTAACTAAGTTTAGTCTTACATTCATCCCTCATATTTAAAATATGTAAAAAGATATTTTCATATATTGATATTGAACCATCCTGTTTTATGGTTTAATCAAACATGTAGGGTCATTAAAAACAAACATTCCCTCCGGACATCACTTTTGGTAACTACTGTGTGTTGAAATGAATATTAGAAAAATGTTAAAGAATAATTCTATTTATTAAAACAGACACAACATATGCAGTGAATATAGAAAATTATGGCTTTGTAAAATTCAACAAGTGATTTATGGGCATCGATTCTGTGTGGGCCTGGTCATACATAATTTGAAATGCTTTGTCTGAGAGTGATAACTGGCAAGTGAAGACAATGTGGTCAAACATCCAATGTACAGGTGAGCATGACTGACAGACACACTGTGACATGTCCATCAATGAGTTTTACAATGAGACGTGACAGCTGAACCCGCAGCCCTGATGTGAAACTTACTGCGAAACTGTCATTTTTCTGGACAGTGTGAGAGGAGAAGCAGAACAGACTAAGATTAGACGACAGCAGCAGCAGAATTGTTCATTAACACACCCCACTTAACAGCAGAGAGTGTAGAAACACCCTTGCGTACACAAGGGCTTTGATATCAGAGAAAGAAAAGAGCTTAAAGGGATAGTTCACCCAAAAATGAAAATTCTGTCATCATTTACTCACCCTTATGTTGTTCCAAACCTGTATGAATTTCTGTCTTCTTCTGAACACAAAATAAGATATTTTGAAGAATGTGGATAACCAAACTGATTGGTTATCCACATTCTTCAAAATATCTTCTTTTGTGTTCAGCAGAAAAAAGAAATTCATACAGGTTTGGAACAACATAAGGGTGAGTAAATGTTGACAGAACTGTCCCTTTAACATGGATAAAACAAAACACACAGACAAAGTTAAAAATGTGGCGACTGAACTTTTAAAATAAAATTCCATGTCTAAGGATCTGTTTACACGACACCATTTTCCACTAAAAACAGAAAACTTTTCCTGCGTTTGGTCCTTCATTTACACGGCGACGGCGTTTTGGGGGCCTGAAAACGTCATTCAAAGTTTAAATTTTTGAAAATGATATCGCTATCTTCTCGAATATGTGAAAACGGTGACATCATGTGCATGCGTATTACGTGTTCAGTCTATAGGCGAATAGTGTTTCTTTATAAAGTGACATCGCCAACTACTGGCCTGGCAGCAGAATACATTGTTTTTAGTCGTTTTCGCAGATCCGCGTGAATGGGGATTGTTTTGTCAACATTGTCGTGAATGTCGTCTGTACGGGGAAAAAAGCAGAGGACAAACTTTTCCATTTTTAGTACATTATTGTCGTGTAAACTTTGCCTAAAATAGCTTCAATTTCACAGACACATTATTTAAAGGAACAGGGCTCAACAGTGAACTCTCCGAATTATTTTTATTGCAGCTTTCGCTTCATGCTGACTTTAAAATTTGGATTTTATTGAGTTTTATTTATTTTAAATAAAGTTAGAGAGTAAAATTGGTTAAAAATCAACTCTGTAAGGAAGATTTTGAATGCCATTTGCACTTTTTGAACCAAACTGTTGAGCTGTATTGCACATACCCACTCATGCATATTTGTGACAGACTACAACATCAACCAATCAGCATCTTTGTCACTCACCCTGAGCTCCACCCACTTGTCCAGCATTCTTTTGTCGTTGAACTCACAGAGCAGGCCAGACGTAGTGATGCAGAAGGTACTGCTCGCCTTCCGGCCCTTTCCACAGGCCACGTCGCTGAAGAAATTATTCCGCAGCTCTCCAAGAAGACCAGAGCGGCCCGATAACGGTACTGTGGCGTTCACCTGAGACAGATGACATTTATGAGACATTCATCTAAGACCTGGCTGATATTCAGGACTGTGTGAACTGAGTGTTTATGTGACATTTTCAGTTGAGGTCAGGTTTGGCGTCTCAAGTGAGAGTTCGAGACTTAGAGACGGAAAGCCAGACAGAAAGAGCTATATTTGGAAGCTATACTTGTTGTCTCCCATGTTAGCAACGTACCTTGGACGACTTGGTGTGGTCAAGGTACCAGAACTTTACATGTCTGTTCCCGGCTGTAACAAAGTACGAGCTGTCATCTGAGAAAGACACAGCCATCACTTTACTGGACACCTTGTTGGAAGCAACCACAACATTTTTCTGAAAAGAAAGAAAGACAAATATTCAGTTTTCTGACTTTTTTTGATGTTGGGGTAATTGTTTGATTAAAGTGCAACAATAATAAGGGGGAAATCAGAGTTTGCAAGGTGGAACTATATTAATATAGTATTCTTTTACCTTCAGAAAAAGCTCATCTTGTTATCTAAACATAGGATATAATACACTAAATGAAAGCTATCTTGATTGTTTTATGACTGTATAAATATTTCTAGCCACCTTCCAGGCCCAGACGTTGACGATCATGTCGTGCTGGTAACCCACGCTGACGATATATTTACTATTGGGGGAGAAAGCCACACACGCCACGCCGTATTTATGCTCCTGCAACTCCGCCACCTGTGTCCTCTCTGCCACATCCCAGACACGCACTGCCGGCATATGACCGCTCTAGAGAGACAGAGAGAGAGGGGTTATCATTTATGAGGGTTGTCAGCAAGCATCACTCTACACAAACACAAAACACAAGAGCAATATATACCAGATGAAGAACTACAAAAATTGTATATTCTATGTACATTTCTGAAATGCACTTTCTGTAAAGCTGCTTTGAAACAATATGTATTGTGAAAAGCGCTATACAAATAAATTTGAATTGAATTGAATATTAATATACTTTTTAAAAGTTTGGGATTAGTAAGCTTTTGTAAAGAATTTTTAAAGATTTTTTTTACTAATTAATGCATTCAATTGATCAAAAGTGACAGTAAGGACCTTCATACTGTTACAAAAGATTTCTGTTTCAAATAAATGTTGTTCTTTTGAACTTTCTACTACAAGAATACTGGAAAAAAAATGTAGCATGTTTTCCACAAAAATGTTATGCACCACTTTATAAGTAAGGGTCTGGTTTCACAGACAGGGCTTAGATTAAGTCAGGATTAGGCCTTAGATAAATTAGGACATTTTTTTAAAAATATGCCTTAGAAAAAACATTACTGGTGTGCATCTTGAGACAAAACAATGGCACTGGCATATTTTAAGTTGCTTTCAGTTAAAACAGCTCAAACAGGCATTTTAGTCCAGGACTAGGCTTAAAGGGATAGTTCACCCAAACTGAACCTCATTGGTTCTCGCGGAAGCTCAAACGTGCTGCGTAACACACGAGAATGAACTTCATTGGTTCTCTCACGTCAAGCGAACATGTTTGAGCTTCTGTCTACCACAACTGATGTGTGAGTTGATGAATGTTTATATGTGAATAAAAGCCTAAATTCAATCTGTTCATCATATAAAGCGATTGTGTACTTTTTGGGTGAACTATCCCTTTAAGCCTTGTCTGTGAAACCAGGCAAATGCAGCAAATCAGCATATTAGAATGATTTCTGAAGGATCATGTGACGCTGAAGACTGGAGTAATGATGCTGGAAATTCAGCTTTGAATCACAGGAATAAATTACATTTTAAAATATATACAAATAGAAAACAGTTATTTTAATTGTAATAACATTTCACAATATTACTGCTTTATAGTATATTTGATCAAATAAACGCAGCCTTGGTGAGCATAAGAGACTTCTTTCAATATATTATAGAAATTTCCTTGACTTTTAAAGCCCTGAAGAAAAAAAAAACATTCCCTGTTTTCTATGGCAGGGAATCTTATATTTTTATTATGATGTATTGAAAATATACATTCAAGAGAATCTTAACATTTTGTGCAATGCTTGTTTGTGCAACACATTAAGAACTCGCTAACAGAGATGTCGAGACAGGTCAGTTCAATGATCCCACCTTACGCAACTCCAATCAAGACAGATCATGCACCGCAAACCAAACCGAGCCATTCAGATTAATCTTACACAACATCCTGCTTTCAGTGCTGCAGGAGACTGGCAGTGAGAATGTGGGGGTCAGAGGTCAAACCACAGTGAGCAGACACATGCCGATTCCAGACTGCTTCTGTCTCTTGCTTCAGGCACACTTTCTTTCTCTTCCTCCCCACATTCTCTCTTCCTTGCCCTTTCTTGGCGCTCTCGCTTTCACCTTTTTATGACAGCAGACACAGTCTGTGTGCAGGTTGGCACGGTGCCGTCTGTTGCCATGGCAGCCGGTAAGCACAAACTCACATCACTTTCACAAGCTGGAGTAAGAAACTCTTCTCAAACGGAAAGGATTACTTTTTTGCACACACACAAATGTCCAGCTACACAAACAGAATCACCCATCCACATGATTTAGCGGATTAAGAGAAGCAGACAGGATATGTGCTCATGTTCAGCCTTGCAAACAAAGTCCAAACAGCTCTGATCAGTGTTCACACTAGCGTTACCACTCATTAGTGTCATGCCAGCGGGGCAAAACTATGAACACTTCATCAATGCATGTTATTCTTAAGGGATAGTTCACCAAAAACACTAAACACTTTTTTTTTTCATAATTGGAACATAAAAGAAGATATTTTGAAGAATGTCTCAGTGTTTTTTTTGTCCATACAATAGAAGTCAAAGGTCACCAAAATTGTTTCGTTTAGGGTCCAATTCTTACTATTAACTAGTTGCTTATTAGCATGCATATTACTAGGATGTTGGCTGTTTATTAGAACTTATTCTGCATGACCATATTCTACATCCCCAATACCTAAAATTAACAACTACAACACCTACCTTACAAACTAGCAGTAATTAAGAGTTTATTGAGGCAAAAGTCGTAGTTAATAGTTAGATAATAGTGAGAATTGGACCCTAAAGTAAAGTGTGACCTGTTTGGTTACCAAACGTTCCTCAAAATATCTTCTTTTGTGTTACATCCTTTTGTAAGTCAGGGAGCGTCATGAAGACAGAATTTCTTTTTTTGGGGGGATAAACTATACTTTTATGAAGAAAAAAAAAAATTTCATAGTGGCTAAAGTAGTGGATCCATAATATAACAATTTTATTTTGAGATTGCACCCACTACATGAATTTGACATTTTTTTACAACTAAGCAGAACTACAAAAATGTAGCCTGGATGCCAGCCGAATTTAGCCCCGCCCACAACATTTGAGGATGGGATGTTCGGTTTCTTTCCTGGTTCGGTTGAAACACGCCCCATAATCACAGCCCAATGGAGCAGTATCAGACTCACATTCTGACTAGAATCCGAGTATGACGACGTCAGGCTAACAAAAATGTACATTGACTAAAGAAATGTTCATGACTTTTCCATGAATTTTTCAAAAGCCTGAAAAAAAAACAAAAAAAAAAACACACTTTTGAAATGCCCTGATATTTCCAGGATCACAGAAACCCTGTAGCACTCGATTACAATGTAATAACTTTTTCAACCACCATTTTCTACTCAGATGACACACCCAAGCCTGCAGTGCACATAAAGGGGAAAATAAGAATAATAATCAATAATATCAATCCAGTTGACCAAATGATCCAATCAAATAAAAATCAAAATCAAAAAAAATATTCAATTACATTTCATGTTGTCTTTAAACCAAATAAGTAATTTTTCTAAATACTGTTTTCTGTTATGTTTATGTTATACTGAACTTTTCAATCAGTTTTATTCTGAAGGTTGTAATACTTTGTGCCTGTGTTTTATTTCAAGCTGGACATGTCTTGCATGCTTTTGTATGATTTATATATGGCAGTCAAAGCAATAAATCCCTCCTAATCCAAACGTTAGTAGAGCTGCAGAATTGCGGAAGGAAAGCAATAGTCATCACATTTGTCTGTACTAGACTTGGCAACAGACAAATGACACTGATAGTTAGTCACTGCTCACAGCGATTGCAGCACACTGTACACGTCGCAGGCCTGAAGGTGCAAGATAACAGAACTTTATTTTCATACAGCCCGGCTACATCAGCATGAGATACTGCTCCAGAGCTCCTGACTTCCTCCTAGATCATGTGAGGCAACCACAAAGCAAAGATATTGAATACTCACCTCGCCTGTGACCACATATTTGCCATCAGGAGAGAAGGAGAGTGTAGTGATGGTCTTCCTGTGAAATGAGAGAGTGGAAGGAAGTATTTAAGACAATGTTGAAGGACATGTATCCTGCTAGTTCAGAGACTTCCTCTCTGTCTGTTCACATATTGCTTATCACAATAATTATTATGTCTGAGCAACTCGACCAGCCTGGCACTACAACATTTGCTCAACCATGAGCAAAGAGTTTGGGACAGGACTAGTTATTTGGTCAACCAATGGCAGATGGGGTTCTGTTCATTATTTAAAAAGGCTATCTGTTTGTGAGTCCATCATTAAATATTTCACATTTTTGGAGCAGTGGTATGCCGACTTTTTTCCTTTTTTTTTTTTTATAAAGTCACCATGAAATCAAAATGGACAATTGTATTTTTTTATGGAATATTGCAGTATTTATTACAAATTATTTATCAATGCACATAATTATATATATTTTTAAATACAAATACTCTCAAAATCTCATATTCAGTTTACTGGCACGAGGGCGGGGCAACCTGTCACTCACATGACATCATAGCAATAACAAACCACAACCATCCAATCAATTCCCCATGGACAAAATCAAGTCCTTCCCAAATTTTTTTCTTGTCAGAGAAGCCGTTTCACTTGGATATACGTCAAAATAGGCCAACAAAAGACTATTGAAACTTCCATTTCACGCAGACTTCCAACAGAACGCGTTTTTCCATTCCACTGCGCTACTTTTCCATTGTTTTTGTTTTTCAATGTAAACCTGTGCTAGATGGACGTCTTTAACCATTGCGCTTCTGTCTTTTGAAGCGTCTCGCACATGACACAGCGTTCTAAAAATGCAACGCTTTAGTTAAAAGAAGTTCAACTTTTAAAAAAGCCATCTCTAGACCTGCATTTTGCTGTTCTGTGTGAACCGGCCCTTAAAATATAAAAGTGCTTACATAGACATCGCTGGAACGAATGCACTAGCACACTAGTGGAGCTAATGAGCCACAGAAGGTGACATTTATCCATGTTGTGCTTGGTTAGAAAAGTATGAAAGTCTCACCTGGAGCTATTGAGGATATGATGTTGTTTGTTTTTCTTAGGGTTCAGTAGCACTACCACACACCTATAAAACGACAAAAAGAAAGGGTCAAATAGTCATTCAATTACACTTTCCAATCCAAAACAACAAAACATTGAACATTTTACTATGGTGACTGACATTCACTCCAGAGTCTTTCTCAGTGACAGCCTTTGTGTTAGCATATCTTTGACCACTAAGTCACAAGCCCAAAATGTCACTACATAAATCATGGAGTAGTGTTTTCTTCTACCTAATGTACCATGGTATTACCATCTGATATGTAAGTGTACTATGGTACTTAGTACTGTATTTAGTGTGCTTGCTTTGTGTGCTTTTTTGGGTTTCGTGTTGTATGGTTTTGAGAATGAAAAACAAACAAGCCTTTTTGAAAACTTTTAAATGGAAGTACAGTAGAGTTGGTCCTATAAAGACTGTCTGAGACAATGTCAGGCGGGGGAAATGACCTGCTGTATTATTGCAGACAGAAAAGGAAGGCATTGAGACAAACAGAACACAGAGGACATACGTCAATGACCACTGCAGAATCCTGGGGAATAGAAACACTTTTATAAAGTCTATGCTAGCCATTTGCAGATCTGTAGTAGCCTACATTCAGACAAAGGATAAGTAAAAACTGCAAATACACAAATCTTCCCACAAAAAAATGAATAAATAACTAAATAAAACACTGAAGACCCTATACTACAGGTAAAACGCTGATACAGAGACAATAAGTGCTTAAACCAGTTTTCAGAAAAACAAAATCACCCTGCCATACATTTCCTCAACCTCGTAAATGACATGAGTCAACCTCCTTCAGACACATTAATTGCAATAAAAAGTAAAAATTAATAATAAATTATAATATATAATATTAACATTATAATTATAACATTATAATTGAATATAAAATATTACATTTGATATAATTTATATAATTGAATATAATTTACACTCACCGGCCACTTTATTAGGTACACCTGTCCAACTGCTCGTTAACACTTAATTTCTAAGCAGCCAATCACATGGCGGCAACTCAGTGCATTTAGGCATGTAGACATGGTCAAGACAATCTCCTGCAGTTCAAACCGAGCATCAGTATGGGGAAGAAAGGTGATTTGAGTGACTTTGAACGTGGCATGATTGTTGGTGCCAGAAGGGCTGGTCTGAGTATTTCAGAAACTGCTAATCTACTGGGATTTTCACGCACAACCATCTCTAGGGTTTACAGAGAATGGTCCGAAAAAGAAAAAACATCCAGTGAGCGGCAGTTCTGTGGGCGGAAATGCCTTGTTGATGCCAGAGGTCAGAGGAGAATGGCCAGACTGGTTCGAGCTGATAGAAGGGCAACAGTGACTGAAATAACCACTCGTTACAACCGAGGTATGCAGCAAAGCATTTGTGAAGCCACAACACGCACAACCTTGAGGCGGATGGGCTACAACAGCAGAAGACTCCACCGGGTACCACTCATCTCCACTACAAATAGGAAAAAGAGGCTACAATTTGCAAGAGCTCACCAAAATTGAACAGTTGAAGACTGGAAAAATGTTGCCTGGTCTGATGAGTCTCGATTTCTGTTGAGACATTCAGATGTTAGAGTCAGAATTTGGCGTAAACAGAATGAGAACATGGAACCATCATGCCTTGTTACCACTGTGCAGGCTGGTGGTGGTGGTGTAATGGTGTGGGGGATGTTTTCCTGGCACACTTTAGGCCCCTTAGTGCCAATTGGGCATCGTTTAAATGCCACGGCCTACCTGAGCATTGTTTCTGACCATGTCCATCCCTTTATGGCCACCATGTACCCATCCTCTGATGGCTACTTCCACCATGTCACAAAGCTCTAATCATTTCAAATTGGTTTCTTGAACATGACAATGAGTTCACTGTACTAAAATGGCCTCCACAGTCACCAGATCTCAACCCAATAGAGCATCTTTGGGATGTGGTGGAACGGGAGATTCGCATCATGGATGTGCAGCCGACAAATCTGCGGCAACTGTGTGATGCCATCATGTCAATATGGACCAAACTCCCTGAGGAATGCTTCCAGCACCTTGTTGAATCTATGCCACGAAGAATTGAGGCAGTTCTGAAGGCAAAAGGGAGTCCAACCCGTTACTAGCATGGGGTACCTAATAAAGTGGCCGGTGAGTGTATATATAGCATAAACAAATAAATCAATTATATATACATTTATTAAATCTACATATTTTATAATTTGTACATAATTGAGGGGAAATAAATAAACAAATAAACAAACAAACAAGCAAGCAAAAAATTGCAAATAACTTTAGAAAAAATGCAAGGTTCTTTGAATACACACACATTTTTAAGGCTCATGACATTGAACAAAACAGATATTATAGTGTTTTATTTGAGATACTCAGTAGAAAGTATATCAGGTATATAGTACAGGAGATATCCTCAATCACACCTATATTCTGCTTTGTTTTGTAAAAGTCATATAACAGAGTTCTTACCCACTTGAATTTCATTATATTATATTGATTAACTTTGTTGGCATCATCAATTTCAGATATATTCTATGCTAAACCTCACACACACAAATGCAGCTGACAGTTTCACATGTTTCTTCGGATTCTCCGAATAAACTAATGAGCAAAGCGGACCAGGTTTAACACAGATAATCAAACGTCTGCTGCGGTAAAACTTCATCTTCAGAGTAAAGGTCTCTTCCACTGGCTGAGGTCCAGCTCTATAGGTCAATTTTAAACACACACACACAGCTAAAGTCTTTTTTCTGATGTCAGTAGCAGAGAGGAGCGAGACAAAGCCACACAAGCACTCAGTCTCCCCCGACCACAAGAAGAGCCGCGTTTGGAATCCGTCAAGTCAAAGCCTCCCTGTCGTCCCGCTCCGTGCTTTACGAGCACGTCTAAGAAGAGAGGGACATAACAGATGAGCTCATGCTTCAATAGCACATTACTCATGTCTCCATAAACCACTGATGCCAGAGACAGGCAAACGGACCTTCACTGTTGGCAAGTAATACCATTAATGGATCTCCTACACTATATATAAGCCACACTGCTGATGGGATTGACTGGGCTCGGATCAATGACTGTGCAAGCCTGTTGTAAGAGCGTCTGCGGCTCATCCCATTACAAAGATAAGCTGATATGAATCAGCGCACAGTCAGCAAATATTCCTGACCTTGTATATACACGTGTCCAGTCCACCCACCATTCACTCGAACATTTCATTGACCTCAATATTGGCAAAAGTTTTTTAAAACAGTCGATTGGCTGTTTCTGCACAGGTTTTATCAAACTGCAGGCCAGGGAAACATAACTGCGCTTACAAAGTACCAAGTTGTTTCAAAGTGCACTTCAGAGGAAGAACTACAGAAGCTGAGGTTTGTTGCGACACTGGATCTTTAACAAAATATTCATATATTCAGTTAATTAACTAAATGTTAACAGACAAAACATTTGATTCAAAGATGTAAATGTTGACTAAGATTAATAAATGCTGTAAAAGTATTGTTTATTGAGAGTTAATGTAGTTAACCAATGTTAACAAACGAAACCTCAATGTAAAGTGTTACCCAATGAACAATATTTATGAATTAACATTAACTTATTTGTAACTACTGTAAAAATTGTTGTTGAAAAAAGATTGTACAAAAAAATTGTAACATCATTCTAGCTAATTCAATTTTAAAAAATGTAATCGTTTTGCAAAGTGTAATTGGGATATCTTTGAACAGTATATTCTGCTTTGTTTCAGTTTTGTTTATACAGTCTTTGGACGGATGTACATTCTGAACCATTAGTTTGCTTGCGTGCTGATAAATTATTTTGATTTACAGAGGTCAATTTTATATTGAGCTTCCTTAAATGTCACATAAATAAGCTAACAACACAACTTCTTCCAAAAGACTTTTTTTTTTTTTTTCAATAGGGCAAGAAGTTTTTCCTTGAAAGTAATTAGGTTACAATAAGTCGAGCCAGCAAATGAACCTTAACAAGAGAACATCGACTTTAATCCGCTAACACACCACCAAGGCATTGAATTGTCTAAAGTCTTGAGACATGATTCTGTTTTCAGAAATAAACCACAAAAGCACAGCCTGTTTTTACAGATATCAGAAGGGAAACTCTAAAAATAATTCAGTGCTTATGTTATGAGATGATATAGGATAAACATCATTGTTTGAGCTAGTATAAACGAAAGCTTTTATTAAATCTCAGTGTATTTAGTATTATTTACATACTATTGTAGTATTTTTTTTAATTCTATTTTATTTTTAATTTTAGTTCAAGTAATTTGATGTACTTTTGTCATTTTTATAATTTTATTGAAAATATTTTTTATTTCGTTTTTAGCTATTTATTTTCCATTTCAGTTTTAGTTGTAATTATTGTAATACGTCTTTTTTGTTTAGGATTTTCACCTAATATTTATATTTTATTTTATTTCAACTTTATTTCAACTATAAAATACCAGAAAACAATTAGTTTTCGTTAACTATTAAAACACCAATCCATTTGTTCACTCAGTCAGCCAAAACTGGTTCTGTGTACTTTAATCAGAAAACAATCACAATCAATCTAGATCTTTGAAAGGACTCACATTTTACTCGATGAGTATCTAGATAAAATTTCACCACCAGAATCAACAACAACAACAAAAAAATGTGTGTGTCAATATTTTTATTATAATGAGAGATGCAAGATCCCACTGGCACACATTTTAACACAGACTCGTCTCCTTCCAAAAGCCTGCTTTGGGGAAATCATAGTAGTGTTGAACCAGGATAATAATGCCATTTCTCTCCGGTGAAATGAGGACAGAATGCACAAACTCTCAGCTATCTACTCAAGTGTGACTAAAGATTCAATGCACACATGTTCACTGTCTCACCACATTATTAACAGTAGATCATCACTGCGCAGTTTAGCTTAACTGAAATTTCTATGAAAATCTGAAGTTTTACACACAATGTAAATGTCATTGTATATTTTTACATTTTAATCATACACACTTGACAAAGTTTAAATGAACCATAATAA